TGATCTACAACTTGGTGCAAACGTTACTGATGTATTGTAAAATTTGATCAGCAAATGTTGTTTGATCTATAAATATTATTTAAATAAATCAAAGGGTAAATAATCACTTATATCAATCAGACTGTTAATTCAGTATAATAATTAAACAACAATTTTGCTAAATCTACATTACATAGACAACTTTAGCTTTACATGCAAATTAATCCATACAAGGCTTACAAAAAAAATAATTGAACAACCCCTTAATTATACTTTTAAGTTATATATGACTAAGGCTTTTTGCAGTTTAACGAGCTTAATGAGACTCACAATTTATTCAGTCAACTATAGATGACTGTTTGGCAAGGTTCAAAAAGGCATGAGACGAGGCGTTGTGTGGCGGTGAAGTCAAGCCTTATAAGCTACGGGGAGGATGCAACGTTTTTCAAGGCGTGACATAAGGCGACAAATTTGTATGTCATAACAGCGGAGACACGTCTTGTGCCATATCGCGCCATGACGTGCCTTTTTGAACAGTGTTGTTTGATAGTAGTTTAATGATATAGAAAGTGGCTTCAGCACGCTTCTGGGAAGCTTTATGCATAAAGCCAAAAAAAATCCAAACATGCTCCTTCCATCTTTGAAAACACCGTACCAAACAAAAACCTTCTCAACTACACAAACAGATTAATACACAAACATCTTTATCCATATAAGATTTAATGAAAAACCAACCAAACAACCCTTAACAATTGAATGTCTTATAGAAAAATGTAGCAATAAGTTACATGCTAGAATGAAGTCATCGTATTGGAATTTTTGTAAGACGTTTCCTAAAATGTCTTATCTAAACGTCTTAAAAACCATGTAATGTTGCAATGCCCTTTTGTTCAAAATATGTTCAACCACCATTTATAGTTTTCATTTTATTCAAATATAAATTATAGATTTATATTTTTTTTAATGAGAAGTTGTATTAAATTCATATTCTCAATTTACGAACTCTTTTTTGCTGTTGCTGCCGACTGCTGATCTGGGGTGATCGTTGTCCCTGAGAAATTAATCAATACGTTCTACTCACTGACGGTTGATTCGCGCACGATATACTGTGGATCGAAAAAGTTTTAGCCTAGTTGGCCGGTAGGCGGCTAAAACAGCTAACCTGGATATCCAACCCGCTATGCGAGCCAACTAGTCACAGGGCGACCACCTGCTTTGCAGATAGCCTGAAGTCACCGCGTTTGAATCTTCGTGGCCACAAAGGGATTTTTATTCGTACTTGGATTTGAACCTGGGATCTCTTGGTACTTTTGACCTTTGGAGTCAAGCTCAAACCAATCAGACATCACCCTTGTGGTTAATTTACGAACATTTTATATCATGCTGAATCGTACACAACTAATAAAACAAAAATCAAGAAAACTTAACAATCACGATCGACCCCACATGAAACTAAAAACGTGTGTACAGTATCCATTACGTTATCGAGCCTATATCCGTAATCGGATGACAATTATCATACCTTCTCATGAATAATTTTCGAATAATTAATTAACACAATATTTAAACATTTATATGCACATATATAACAAATAATCAAAAGTTTTAAGTTTTAATACCAAAATATTTGAAATGGTGTAAGGGGCCGTTTACCAAACTCTTACCTGGGTAAGCGCTTACCAAGTAACATTACCTCACCGGATGAATATGGTAAAGACCAAGAATCTTACCTGGTAAAAGCAAGACAATGACCAAGAGTCTTACCCGGTAAGTGAATGCGACGACTCTTATCACGGTAGGCGCTTACCGGATAAATTGTTGCATACCATGTCGTTTTTGTGGATTAAAATCTTACCCGATAAGTAAATAATAATGTTAAATTTTACCGATAAACACTTACCCGATAATAAGAAACCTATTTGACATTTGAATAAGAAATGATTGGAGGGCATTTTGTGCCTCCCAATGTCTCACCAATCTTAGCAAATGGTCTCTTGGCCACACAATTGATGCCCCAAATCTTTTGTGTGACACAAAATAACTCCATGTGAATGTTACTTCACATGCTTTCTAAAATCTACATAAAACCTAATATGCTTTCATTTATAACTTCATATAATTAATCACGTGTTTTAAACCTTATGAAATTATGTATGTATCTGAGATGCTTTTACAAAGTGTCAGTATAAAATTTAGCTGTTGGGTTTTTTTTCCATAAACACATTCAACATGGTCGATAATAAGGTATATGTAAAACAGTAAAAATGTGTGAAAACGTTGATGCTCGGTTGAATTTGATCAAGATTTTAATGGTTTTAAGTTGTTGGGATTAGAGATTCATATTTGACCGATCCCAACAATGTGGATGTTGATATAGATAAAGACTGGTTTATGATGTCATCAGTTTGGATTAAGTTGGACCTGTTTCAACAAGGTTTTTCTTATTCACAATAAATAGAAAACAACCACTTTTTGAATCGGATAAAGCTTGGATCGTTCTTTTTTGAACATACCATACCATACCATACCATACCAGACTTCTCTTCCCAGACCAAACCATATCAAGAGCTGCTTTTTTTTTGAACTAGTCTCATACCAGGTCAAAGCATCAATTTGGGTCTGGTCTTAACCTTGTCACATATAGACAGGTTGAAGTTTTTTCCAGATCATGTTAGCCAGACTGTTTCTTTTTTAGGATTTGTCCATGTGCATCCTAGTCATGACTACGGATAAAAGAAGACCATACATTATATTGCTCAAATGATTGACATATAATAAAAAAATTCACGGTGTATTTGTCAACCCTCTAAAACTTGTCACATCTAAAATATATAAAAAAAACAAAATTTATGGTATGTTAACTTTTTTTTATTCACCTGGATATCCAACCTGCTATGCGAGATGACTAATCCCAAGACGACCACCTGCTCTGCTTTGCAGATAGCCCGGAGTCACCGCATTTGAACCTCTGTGGCCACAATGGGATTTTTATTCCCCATTTGTATTTGAACCTGAGACCTCCTGGTACTTTTGACCTTTGGAGTCAAGCTCAAACTAATCAGGCACAACCCTTGTTGTTAATGATTTTGACTTCATAGGTACCAATATCGTGTTTGACGTTGAAAAATCAGAAACAACTCTACGATATCGAGCATCACAAGCACAATACTCCATGAATTGTTTGTATTACAAGAAACGAGTCAAACCCAGATTGTAACCAAAACAAAAAAGAACAAATATATTCAAATCTGTAGCAAACAACCATCTGTTACACTCACTTGTTTATTACCATTCGATTGTAAATAACCAATGATTCAGATCCTACATAAACAAATCATTGGCACTTACAATATAATAATATATCATAATATAAAATTAATCCCTCATAAATATCTCATAATTTTAAATTATATAATTAAAAAAAAATATCAATAATCTTTCACCAACTTTAAAAACAAAGCATGTTAGCAACATTAACTCAAATAGAAAAAAAAAGATATAGAAAACAATTAGGATGTATGTGGCATTTGAGGGGCCAATCAAAGTATAAAAATGATAAAAACATGTGAATACCACATTTAGATTTAATTGGTATCCATCAACTCAATTTCCTAACATTACTTTTATTGGATCATTAAAAATATTATTAACTTGGATATCTAACCCGTTATACGAGCCGATTAATTTCAGGACGACCACCTGCTTTGCAGATAACCCGGAGTCACCGCATTTGAACCTCCGTGACCACAAAAAGATTTTTATTCCTCATTGGATTTGAACTTATGATCATTCAAATTTTTAGGGCCTATTACCATGGTGTTGTATTTTCCAAACTTTTTCCCGTTCATTTTTATTATTTTTAATGAAAATGTTAATATATTTTTTTTTATTGATTTCATAATTTCGTTTAACTTGTAACGGGATTCTGGGAGGCAAAAGGTCAATTGGCATGCATATGTACATATACTGATTCTTATTTGATTTCAAGATAGACCCACAAAATTTATAAAATTCTATCTTATAATATATCTCAAAACTGGAGTTAGCTATTGATTGTTATCATTATTATAAATTATCAGTGAGCAGACTGTATAAAAATAACATACTTTTATTCAGTTCAATTTTGGATAAATTACTGTATAAAAACACATTTAAAGAAACTAATCATACAACTAGATAATAAACTAATCATACAACTAGATACTTGAAGTTGTGATTTTATAATACAAACATACTCATTTTCTTACATACAACACATGTAAGGGGTGTTTGGGATTGCTTATTTGAAACAACTTATGTTTTTCTACAAAAGTCCTTATTATAAATTATAGTGGTTTAACTTCTTTAAAAACTCTTTATTACCGGTTTCGCACTGGCATAAACTATTTATCTAAACGCTCAAAAATGTTTATTAATGATGTCACATTGGAATAAGTCAATAAAATATTTTTATAAACAATCTCAGGCATCCCCTTAATTAATAATCATATATTTCTAATTATTTTTCTTGCAAACTTTCTTAGGTGAACATATTTTTCAGAAAATTTAATTTCTTATTGTTATTAACAATTATACACTAATCGACCGAGCTGAACCGTTTCTTGTGCAAATCGCCGGTCTAAAACCGGATATGGTGTGTCAATGGTATTTCAGATATACCCGCTTTCTGCGAGGGGTATTTCCGTCTTTAAATCTCACGGTTTCTCCAACTTAACCGAACAGAAAAAGACGTCTCCGTTATCCTTCCGTTAATTTGGTGGGTCCCCAGAAACAAAAAGGTCTGAAGAACCTTTAACTCATCTCACAAGGCACCACGTGTCCACAAAAATCGGATCTAAAATGATCCTACAGGATCCGCAATCCGCCCCAAAACAACTCTCAGCCCGTATATTGATTTCCTCTCTACGTCCTACGTGTCATCAAACGTGGACACTGACATGGCACCTTCTTGGCCCTTGATTTATCCACGTCATCGAAGCGAGTATAATATCTTCCTGACGACCTCTCCCTCAACCAGTAGAAGATACGAAACCCCCTTTACTTTTAGAGATAACCTAACAAACCCTATATATAAATCTTCATCTGGGATGATTTCTTTAAGTTCAAAATCATTACATCGATAAATCAAATCGAAGCTTTCGAGATTTTTCTGTCAGGTGGTGTTGGTGTACGGATAATCTTACCGAATTTTGTGGATTTGAGCTTTGAGTCAAAGCTCTTTCCTTATTTCTCCGGCATCTACGGTAATGTGATTATTCTTGAGTAATCGAGTCTAATTGAAGTACCATGGAAGCTTAATAAGATTTCTTAGGCTATTTTTACTCAGATTTTTGGCGGATGGATGATTTTAGAAGTGTTCCCTTCTTTGTAGATTGAAATTAGCATTTTATATTTTTAAATCTGGTTGCTTTTTAGTTTTATGATGATTTCTTAAAGAATCTGAAGGGTGTTTAGGGTTTTGTTCTTATAAATTACTGTAAATGGGTTGTATGGAAGCTTAAAATTATTTTTCTGGGTTAATTTTATTGAGATTTCATTTGACTAAAAATGGAGGGGGATTTGAGAGTTTTCTTGTTTTTCTGCAGAGTGAAGTATGTGTCAGTATTAGGAATCTGGTAGTGGATGTGGTTTTTGTGGTTTGATGATGAAATCATATATGAACCTGAGTTGGCTTTTAATGTTTGATCTAGAGGTTTTCCTTTTTCAATCATGGTGAATCAGTTGCTTGAAGTATTATTGAAATTTAAAACTAAGTCCATAGGTTTGTTTTTTCTGAGATTTTGTTTAATATTGGGAAACATGGTGGATATATGATTTGAGAAATATTTTGATTTATCGTAGATACGTTGAACTCTATACAAATCTGATGGGATTTAGGATTTGTTTCAAGAGTTATGTATAGTTTCTTTGTAAGATCCACATGCTCCTGTTTCCATTTTCACTAAATAAAGCTTAACTTGGTTGAGAAATTGGAAGGTGGAAAATAAGCAAGATATGGTGGTGGTTGATAGGTGGTGGCTGGTGGAAATGGGTTCTCACTTGAAAGTATCTTTAGCTTTTTGGTTTCTCGCTCTTGCTATAAGGAAAAAAGAATGGAAAATTGACGATAATAGCCAACCGATCGAGAAAAATTACTTCTGTTCTATTATGTAATTATGGTTTTGGAGTATTTTATATGTTTTCTGATTTTCTCATATCTTTTGTGTAGGATTATTTGAAGGGTTACTCAAAAAGATCGTTACTTGGAGAAAACGTTATGTGCCCGCTTTCAACCAAGAAAGAACTTGCTTTGGTTTCCCAAACCAGCCCCTTGTATACTAATAATCTCTTCGAATATTGTTAATGAGGAGTGTTGGTTTGAAGACTCTTGTTCCGGCAACTAAAGGGTTGGCGGAACTCGATCACCATGATCGTGATGAACTAAAGGGTGCAAGAAATGGATCTCCGTTTGATGGCCAAGGGCTGTCAGAAGAAGATGAGTCAAGGATCAATGAGGACGTTAACAGTGGTAGACGAATAGAGTTGGTCCAGCAGCCTCATAATGATCTGCATAGACCACATCAACAACCTCAAGGACCACTGGTTCAATGGGAGAGGTTTCTGCCTCTTAGGTCTCTCAAGGTGCTTCTGGTCGAAAATGATGATTCAACTCGTCATGTTGTCAGTGCTCTGCTCCGTAATTGCAGCTACGAAGGTCTATAACTATTTATATTGCCATTAAATGCTTTTGGTACATATATGGCAAACTTGGGCTAGAACAATCTTTATTCCTTTTTATGTATGGTATAATATGTCAAGTAATTATTACTTGGTCGGATTTTTGAGCAAGGCTTTTACATCGAGCATTTCCCTTAGATGGGATGTTCATAGTTTCGTTTAGCAAAGCATAGAAATGGTAGTTTTATAGTCATTCAACACCATTTGACTTGCTATGCAATTATTCTATCCTGAAGACTATGTGAAGCTAATAATCACTAGTTACTACGCACAGAGCAGTTATGATAAAATCCTATGGTGTCCCTTTGAGGATATTCCCTCCGCCATATAGTTATAACCAGCTACCTCCTATGTTGAAAGGATACTGGTGCATGATATGTTGATGCTAGGATTCAACTATTCAAAAGGATATGGAGGTGTACTTACATGTGTGTGTCTCTGTGTGTGTGTATTAAGTCTAAACTGAAAGAATAAGATAGACATATTCTGCAAGGATGTACACCTTCTTACCTGCTAGACTAAATCCCCGGGGACATAGGAGAGACAGATCATCTCATAATAAATCTTAAATAGATCAAATAAACACATACTTAATCTAAAATCTTATCTTGCTTTCACTTTTACTTGGTGTATCATATCAGCCTAATTATCGAGGAAAAAAATTTCTTGTGTTGCCTTGTCTTTATTCTTTGTATAAAGATGCAATTAGTTATAAATTTCTATACCCAATTTTTAATTTTTATAAATTGCAATGTTCTCTCTCTCCCTAAAAAGAACCAAAATCGATCATAGACTGTATTACAGAAAAAATTAGCATGCCTTATTCATATAAACAATTTGCTCACTTTCTTGATCAATTTGTTACTATTTTCTGTTTCTTAAAATTTATTGACCATATGTTAATTACTCCATGGCAGTTACTGCTGTAGCAAACGGTCTAGAAGCATGGAAAGTGTTGATTGATCCAGACAAACAAATCGATCTTGTTTTAACTGAGGTCATGATGCCATATTTATCGGGTATTGGTCTCTTATCCAAGATCACGAACCACATGACTCGCAAGAATCTCCCAGTTATAAGTAAGTAGCTTCCCTATTCTCTTCTTGAATTCTTACAACTTCAATTGATCTAATTCCAATGGTTTATCATATATGTAACTGTTGTGCTTAACGAGTTTTACGTGCAGTGATGTCATCCGATGACTCTATGGGTATAGTCTTTAATTGTTTATCCAAAGGTGCAGTTGACTTTTTAGTCAAGCCTATTCGAAAGAATGAGCTAAAAAACCTCTGGCAGCATGTGTGGAGGAAATGTCACAGTGTGAGTTAATTTAGTTATTATGGTTTATGTATCATTAAAAACGGACCAGTTTTGGACTTCGGCTTCAGGTGTGTTCTGATTTCGTATGTTAATTTTTTGTGGGGTGGAGTGTACTGGATTTGAGCTACTTCTCCAATATGCTCATCTGTCCATGTCAAATTTTGAAACAAAAATCGCCATCTAAAACCTCTTTCTTTTGTTTTTGCTTTAATTTCTCGTGTTTTCAGCAGTCTAGCGGTAGTGGGAGTGAGAGTGGTATACAGACTCGCAAATCTACAAAATCAAGAAGCAATCAAGAGTCGGACGAGAACAGCGATAACAGTGATGATGATATAAGCATAGATTTGACTGCCAAGGATGGGAGCGACAATGGAAGTGGAACTCAGGTAATTTTTCAGTTTATCGAATTTCTTCTTAATTTTGCACTTGTTTATACTTATGCTTATGAAGCAACCAGCAAGTGATCAAGTCCATGTTTGGCAACCATTAGCTAGCTGGGGTTACTGAAACGTTACTTCAAGTAGCTCTTCAATAAGCTCCAGGGTCATTTTTCACCTTTTTCCAATTTTATGCCTCTTGTATTTTTCCAATTAATTTTTCAACATGTCCCTTTAGGTCTTTTTAAGTTGTCATCTTGCTTATCAACTAGTTTTTACCGAACATAAATAGTTTATCAGCTAGCTTATGTCCTTTTAGGTCATTTTACATCATCGTCTAGCTTATCACCTAGTTTTTACCAAGCACGACTAGATATCAACTAGCTTATGTCCTTTTAGGTCATTTTACATTGTCATCTAGCTTATAGCTAGTTTTTACCAAACATGACTAGTTTATCAGCTAGCTTATTAGCCAAAAGCTAGCTTGTCAACTAGTTGGTCAACCATAGCCCAAGTATCGAACCTAAACTAGATAATACTCCCTCTATCTCATGAAAAAATTGTTACATTTGGCAACTCTGAATCTAAAGTTACTTATTTGGACATTATCATCACGAGAAAGAATCGTTGATATGGATTTCGACGACATGATTATCTTATTTTGTCATCATTGAAAAGTATTTAACTCGAACACTATTTCATATAAGAAATTTGCTATTTGTACCAATAAATTGTGTATAGAGCAAACTTCAAGTTGCTGAATTTTCACTGAACGCTGTAATTTTTCTTGTTATTTAGAGTTCTTGGTCGAAGAGAGTTGTAGAAGTTGATAGCTCCCAAGCAAAGTCTTCTTGGGACAAATTACCAAATCCCCGTGATAGCATTTGCATTCCTGCTGCAAGGCCTGAAACATCCAAGAACCATTGGCAAGGAACGGCTGCCAGAAAAGAGCATGCCACAGAGGATGAAAAACTAGGTAATACTTTGCAATCGATTAATATTTATGGATTCTCTTTCAGTCAAAAGCATCCTAATTGTGCTAATATTTATGGTTTGCTATTGCAGAAATTGTTGAAATGGGGAAAGACTTGGAGATTGGAGTGCCTATTGAAGATGCAGACAAAAAAGGGAAAGAAAAGTTTTGTGAATTTAACCCTAAGAAAGCGGACGATGAGTTGGATACTAGTATGCAACTTGGTTGCACGAATAGTGCACCAAGGACTGAAGCTCTTGGTGCCACCAAGATAAGTAATGCTCATATGGAAGCTGTAGCAAAAGCAAACCAGTTGCTCAAGAACATAAACATTGAAGATAAGTCTAATTACTATTCCAAGGAATCGCCCGCCCTTGAGCTCAGTTTGAAGAGGCCAAGAGACATGGAGGATGCTGCTGACGCTAGTGCTCAAGAGCGAAATGTTTTACGACATTCAGGACTTTCAGCCTTCTCAAGGTATGTTATCTGACAGGAAAGTTCATTTTAGAACCAACTATTCATTATGAATATACCTCAATATTCCTCAATGAGTATCATGCATTGTCGTTATTCATGATATTCATCATGAATTGAATAGTCATGAGAACCAATTGTTCATGATGAATATATCTTTTAGACATTCATTAATATTATTCATCATGCACAGCAGCATATTCATAATTCATTATATTCGTCATGAACATCAACATATTCATTATTCCTTATATTCATCATGAATAATTCATAAATAGTTGGTTCGATCAATTTCATTTATATCAATGAATGTTGGCATTGGATTTGCGATCTGATGCTCATTATTACGCAGGTATAACACTGTATCAAATGTCAATCAAGCTCCAACTGGGATTGTAGGCAGCTGCTCACCGCTAGATATCAGCTCAGAAGCAGCAAAACCGGATAAGAAACAATCTAACTCAAATGGGACCCCTAATCAACGTTCCAATGGCAGTGACGATATGGGCTCCACCACCAACAATGCTTTCACCAAACCGGATGCTCTAGCTGATGACAAAGCAGCTCCAAATGGTTCCACCATAGCGGTTCATCACAACCATGCTTCCACCCTTCAACCACTTATTCCTGGTGCCGCTGAGGGTGAAACTGCTAAGAATGCCACGGGACAACCAAAGGGCGTACAGCAGCAGGTTCATGTCCGCCACCATCACCACCACTACCACCACCATCACCACCATGTTCATAAAATGCAGCAACAGAAATTGATGAACCCTGATGATGGATCTCTAAAGAACATGGTGTCTAACATCTTGACCGCGTCAGATGAAGGAAATGCCGCTAATTATGGCAGTGCCTCAGGAAGCAACAACAAGAGCAATGGAGAAAATGGCAGCAGTGGGCAAAAGGGAACCAGCTCTGCTCCAGTGGTTGAAGGTGGTGCGATTGCGAGTGATAATGGTGACGCCAGAAAAGGCAATGCCGAAGATGGCAGCGGAAGTGGCAGTGGACGAGGGAGTGGTGTGGATCAAGATCGCGTAACACACCGAGAGGCTGTCCTTAACAAATTCCGCCAGAAGAGGAAAGAAAGATGCTTTGAGAAAAAGGTATTAGTTCTCATTTAACAAATACTTGCAGAAACATCAAACAACCAATGATCCAACCTTGAAGGCCAGCTCCACTGGCAAATAGAGGTCAGACCTCGGGGCTCCTTTCCACAAATCGCCAATTTGAGTCTCCTTAGAGCCACTAGGGATTTTCCCACCATGGTTACCAAGAAAGAAAAACCCGATGGTCTTGAGTTTATTACATTAAGTGTACCCGTTTGATTACAGTGAAATTAAACATATTTTGTTTGATCCATTTTGAAGGTGCGATACCAAAGCAGGAAGAAGCTAGCAGAACAGAGACCACGGGTTCGTGGGCAATTTGTTCGACATGGGGCTAATGGGATGAATAACGAGGATGCAGATTCGTAACGGTTTTGTTTCTGATATGAAATAAGTAGTAGATCAAGATTAGCCGTTGCGTGTAGATATGAAGGGTAAGGTACATTACATGATTCGAGGGGACACGATGAAAGGATTGGAAGGATGAAATTCAACTGAATCTTAAACATTAAGAACATAGTCCCCCCGTTTCTAGCAGTAAGTTTTCTTTTGATTCCTAGATTGCTTTCGATCCTAAACTCTCTACCTAATAATGTTTTTTTGGGTTCAGTTTCGGTTGTCGTTGCTTAGATATTGTTTGATCTTGGAGAGCTTTCTTCTAGAGAAAAGCCTTCCATGCAGTTTGTTCTTTACTTTCATGTTCTTGAACTATTGTCAGAGATGATCTTTTTTCTATTTAATAGAAAGTCTTCTGTTACAAGTCTTCTAAATCTATATAGTCTCTGTTTGTATACACATCAAAATTCATATATGAATCAAAGGAAATCAAGAAAAATGAAAGATTCAGTTCATACTATAACCAAGAAATTCAATAATGGTGATAGCCAAGTTGGTATTACCTTATCCCGGCTAAAGGCGATCAAATATCGGAGGTATATAACATCCATCACCTGCCAAAAATCATTACATAGACGATTTCATACGAAAAGCTTAATAGCAAACGTTCATGAACTACATCGTCCGCTGATCCTTGTTTGAAGCACGTCGAGTTGCCAAGTTTTATAGCATCCAGATTAAGGTTTGGTGTTTACATCTCATGAGATCTTTGAGATTTGTGTGTTTACATCTTGATCGAGAGATTTATATGAGGGAAAGGAGCATGGTTTCGACTCGTTATCATCACAAATTGTAATAATATGAGGGTGTTTGGAATTGCTTATTTGAAACAACTTATGTTTTTCTACAAAAGCACTTATCAACTTATTACAAGTCAGAAGGGTTTAACTTCTTCAAAAACTCTTTATTACCGATTTGACACCGGTATAAGTTGTTTATCCAAACACTCAAAAATGCTTATTACCGGTACCACACTGGAATAAGTCAATAAGTTGTTTTTATAAGCAATCCCAAACACCCCCTAAATATAATATGTAATTAGTCGTGATTTCAATGATAAACACAAGTCGTACGTTTTTTTTATTCATAAAACAGTTTTAATTCATTTATCCAATGCATTAATGGTACAGTTTTTTGGTCTTTCAATTAATAATTACGTTTATCTTTCTTTTTTCTCATGTCCATAATCTTTGATAAAAGATACGATATGATTCAATCTTATAACGAAATCAAATCACGTAGGAATATGTATTTACAATAATCAAATATTTCGACATGTTACAAAACCTTTTGGGCAAAAAGAACTAGCATTCGAAAATAAAAAATGGCAACTTTGTAATAGAAATATGCCATGTGGCCGTAAACGGAGATCGACGAATTGGAAGCAGAAACGAGAAAATCGATGGTACCGTCTCTGATGAATTTAAACATTTGGTATGCAGAGACCATTAGAGTTACAGGTAGTCTAAATTATGAAATGTTTATGTTAAGAGCTTACATGCCATCCGTAAGAGAACATTTTCGACTGGAATGGTGTGTGCATCTTTTCAAGTTCGACCACCTGGATAGAAATATTCGACACTGTTTTCCTTGACCCTGTAATGGAAATTACGAATCTTGCTCTTCCACCTCCCTAATCCGTCACTACTTCCCTTGTTCAATATCGTCAACTGCATGAGATAACGACTTACAAATGTGGGTCAACTAGTTTCATTAGTTGACAAGCTCAGATTTACCAACTGCTGACACCTCTTACTGGGTAAGAGGTGCTTACCCGGTAAGAAGGGATGCTCTTTACCAACACACCTGACCTAATATATGCCGACCGAGCTGCTGACCTAGTAAGAAAGGGGTTGCCTTCTGACTCCGTCAATGCTTCAGTCAGAGCGTTACCAGAGACACTTGGTAAACAACCATTTTCAGTAGGAGGTTACCCAATTTGTGTTGGTGAATGACCCCTTGAGGGTGATAACGTATTTTACTTTCTTTTTGGTGTTTATGAGTTCTTTATAAAAATTTGGCAAGTACCTGTCCATGAACATCTGCTGCCAAACCAGTAACCAAAGGCTCTGCCTTTATCTTGATGTCTGCAAGGTGCTCCATTTGTAAAGGAAGGGTAAAGTGATCTGCACTTGAATAGATGTCCTCGTGAATAACTGTAATTATCGTACACGCCTGTGAAAACAAAACGAAATTGAAACATTCGGATCAACGTGGTGGTGTGTCATAAAATAAAATCAAAAGAAAAATATAACTGTGTCTTACAAACTGTGTTGTTAATGTATGGCAGTAATGCATAAAATCTAGGACATCTTTTGTAGAACCGTTAGCAGCCACCTCCAGAAGGGAAATATCATCAATCATAATTGTAATGTTCTTGTTTAACGAACTAACTGCTTCCACAGCTTTCTGAATGTTCCCGTACAAAGCAATTATTCCATCTTCAACCCCGTCATCTGCTCATCCACAGGTCAAACCTAAATACTACTTAATAAAAATATTAATTATACATAAAATATAGATCACTTAATTACATATACTTTTGACACATCAACCCATGCTTGCAAAATAAAAGGTAACCATGTTCCATAGTTGACATATATATAACAGATACCAGAGGTGAAAATTTCGACCCATTTACCTATAAATGGGTCGAGTTATATTTTATCTCTAATGGGTCAAATTACAAGGTTCTGCTAAAAAAGGAAATGGGTAAAATGGTTCAGGTTGAAAGTCAATTTGAATGCATACAATCTCCTAAATCTCTTTATATAAAATTTTGCTATTGTAATTATAGTACTCGTATTCGTATTTAACACAAACTGTTCATAAATTCAAGAAATGAAGAAAAAGGTGTTTGCGGATCAAACCCAATACAACCCAACCCATCCAAACTCACCAATTATGCCACCTCACAGAATACCAACTGAAACAAGATACAAGATATGTCAAATTGGTAAGAGAATGATGCTTGGCTGACATTCAGAATAGTACTGGTCGACAAAAGAACCTCCACAGATGTATCTTAATCCAGATCTCAAGTTGCCTTTAGAAGATTAACATATAAAGCAGTAATTAGGTAGCAGCACAATGTTTACCTGATATTCTCACCTGGACACTCCAGCATAAGCATGTCAAAAAATATCAATCTTTTATTCTCCCTTTGCACAACTAAGTTGCAACCCTGTCACATCAACAAATCTGAATAATCAATGATTTTCACATAAGTTGTTCGCATAACTTCTAACGTATAATGCAATATAACAAGGCACAGGAAAGTTGTTTCAGAAGGCACAACCCAAGCACATCATCGTATTGCAACAATGAACTTCTCCTAGCACTCCTATTTTATTAATTAACCCTAGATGTAAATTCAATGTAGGTTGTGCATCGGGTTGGAGCCAGACAAGACGAGCCCCTGAAAATAAATTTAATGAGACCAATATCCAAACTGATCTAACGTTTCAGTCCCAAAACAGACCGTTTACCAAATACAGGTTTATTTTAATTTGAAAAATATAAACCTAAAACATAAGTTTGAAAAATAAACAAAACCACTAAGCTGATCAATTTTTGAAAAATCTAGAACCAAAAGATATGGTTCAGTTCTTAGGTTTGGTCTGTCTGGACCTGCCCCACCCCTATAAATCAGAACCGGCCTCACACCATGCGTGAATCTAACAACTAAATCACCAGTTTGCAATGCAAAGTCAACCTAAGTGCATAAACCATTGCAACTAAATATCTGCAGCCTTCTGGCTAGGTGGGCTACCCAGGTGCAGCAGGTGGGAGACATTGGAATCCCTATGGCACATGCCATAGCACCCAGGTAACCAACAATATCAGCCTGTTGTATAAAAACACCTTCTCCTCCCACCACTGTCTCCTGCCCTAAATCGACCATACCCTTCATCATCCAAACCATTTATTTCTCATCGATCTACATCCAACCTCCATTCCTCCAGTACTCTGCAATCACAAACAAAGACCTTCATGGCACATGTCTTCACAGAGGTTCAAACCTCACCAAAGATGAGGAGTGTGTGTGTGAGTATTTGTCGTCAATATTATATACTTCAAAAAAGAACACTCATGAAAGATTACAATTTAGGATCCTGGTATAGTCCCCTTACCATGAAAGACCATTGTCCAACCATCCTTCATCACCATTTGGTTCACCCAAATGGTCAACCTCCTTTTCAAACAATTTTTTCAAATTCAAGTTTCATCAACCCTCCTGTCCAATCACCGTTTCAACTGGTGATCAATGATCCCAACCTCAACCCATTACAAAGTATTTCTTACACCAGTTCAGCAAAACCCAAACCACCAACCCACGCCAACTCTAACCCTGTTACCAAATCTCGCCAATCCATATCTCCTATATCTCGCTTAGCCTCCTTTGATGGCACACCTTCCCCTTGTCTATCTCCTAAAGGAACTGCATTTCCATTGGAACTTACAGATGTCCAAAGATAATTCCTTCATCAATAAAACCTAAAACTTCAGCCTCAACCCCAGTTGCTCAGGTACCATCTCTTCCACCTCTTCGAGCGGCATATCATCTTGATATTTGACAGTAAATTGTCACAACTTATGCAAATAGAACGAGAAGAACTTTGAAGCCAAGATGACTCAAAAACATAGGAGACTAAAGACAAAGATGGTGGGTCAAAAAATACATCATTGCTCGCAAGTCAATTTCCTGTTTCCTTGATCTCTTTTGGAGTTTAAGGTGCCATCTCATAGGCTTGCAGCAATAATTGATCTCACATTTAAATTCCCTTCCCCCCTGGATGATTTTGTTAGATTTCCTACCGTCTCATATCAGCATACTCCACCAGTCTTAGAATTCAGGTGTGTTATCTCCATACAGGTACTATGGTTTCTAATACTAAGGTCAGATTGATCATTTGGTTTATAATCCTATATGTGATAACATGGTTAAACTCCCTTTCTAAATAAAAAGATAAACTTCTGAACTTTGAGATCAAAACTACCATCTTTCCTTTTTCAAGTTCAGAATTGATAAAGAAAGGTTACAAAATCCAACATGTTATATTAGTAACGTTTATAATAAATTTCACTAGGGTAAGCAATTTTTCCTATAAATTATAACCATCCATATCAATTACGGATTTCAATCTTGTCTATAAGACATTTGGACCTGAAAAGTTCAAAACTAATTCAGCGTTCCGGGGAGTAATCATCCACACACACGTGTAAGTGCTAAGCATCAAAATGTGTGGTGATTCAAACATTAATGCATTAGCACCACGCATTAATCATAACAAATGACAACTTTTTTGACATTTTCTCTATCCACGTCTAGCAACGACAGAACAAAAATAGTCACGCCAAAATTTAGAGAGAGAGAGAGAGGATCTACCATCTTACGGAGGATGCGGTCATAGTGAGAAAAAGGTTGAGCGAATGCCACGAAGATGACGATACTATCGGAGGACGAAAGATTGGGTGAGAGAAACCGTTTTATTAGGTGGTGTAGCACGAACGCGCCATTAGTTTCGACGCAATCCTCCACCAGAACCACACGTCCTATCCATGGCTGCAGATTATTAGAGTCTCCGTCGTCGAGACTTAGAGCTTCGTCGAGAAAACTCGCCGGCCGATCCATTTTACCGATCACACTTATGGCTATGGAATGGAGGGTTTATTTAGGGTTTCTAAACTATGACGGAATCCAAAACGGAAAGACCTCTTGCACCTCTATTTTAAAAGCACGTGCTGTTCATGTGATTCTGCTAATATTTCTAATTTGCCCCCTCAACTATTAATAAAATTCCAATTTCTGTCAAAATGATAAACCCCATAACTTGTCCTCTGGCTCGTCTTCCCAATATCAAGATGATCACACCTTACAAACTTTAAAGGGTAGTTTACCAAATAGTTACCCGGTAAGTGCTTACCAATAAAATTTAACACTATTATTTACATACCGTGTAAGATTTTAGACCACCAAAACGACATTGCATGCAATAATTTACCTGGTAAGTGCTTACCGTGGTAAGAGTCGTCGCTCTCACTTACCAGGTAAGACTCTTGATCCTTGTTTCGCTCTTACCAGGTAAGATTTTTGGTTCTTACCCTATTATCCGGTGAGATAACGTGACTTGGTAAGCGCTTACCCGAATAAGCGTTTGGGAAACGACCTCTAGTTCTCGTCCTATGTCATAAATATTTTCATCTATTTTAGTTAACACTTTTTCCTAAAATTTTAAAATATGTCAGTATTTTTCTTAAAAGAATAAATAAACGTTGTCTGAGATAAACAAAAACTGTTGTATATTGATGTTATATGTAAAAATACATTATGTATCGTATGAATAGGTGTATAAAGACGAACTGTGATGGCAAAAAAGACATAATACAGATGGTGATAAGTGATGACAGAATCGAGCCGGTTGATTGTGGGTTTTTCAAAGAGTTCAGCCTGCGAAAAACCCATAAACTCCATTAAAATTATCTAGAGATCTTTGAGGAGATAATTTCGTCTGACAACAATGTGTACGTGATCTTTTGGGGGATTTGACAAACATCTAACATGATCTCTTTTTAACCATGCAAAAGACTTTTGTCACTTTGGACAAAAGCCTCGTTATAGCACTAACAAGTGGTGATCAAGAACCCTACGATTGCTTTCAACGCCACGACCTTTTCACATACTAATTTAGTACTGAATTAGTTTAAAAAGCACAAAAGCATGACATTCCTTTTAACTAAATGACGATGTTGATACGATAATACCTATACTCTTTTAAAGGGTATCTGCGGGATTTTTCTGGGTTATTTAATACGTACGCTGCTGAATAATAATAAAACAAAAGGATCTCGATATGCCTATTGCTTAAGAACCATCGATGAATAAAAAAATACAACCTGATAAAAACACGTGATAAACGTATTTAAACAAATAAAAATCAAACACGTCTACTAGCAGGTTGGAACTTCATACTGCTTTTTTGTTACAGCTATTTTGACTACAGTAGTCCATTTACCTTGTAATTAAAGACAATTCTTTAAGATACAAGAGTCGATATCGAAGGGTTGCATTTTTTTTCTTATCGCCTACCTACTAACAACCTAATAATTCAGTGGTTGACACATAATCACATGATTTAGATTCATAAATCATCGAGTAATCTAAATATTTAATTTCATGCTTTTATAATGCAAAAAAAACGTTGTTGGACCTTAATATTTGTCGGTGCTTTTACTTATATAATCGTTACAATAAAACACCTGTTTTCAAATTTCAGTCAAAATATTTAACAAACAATTAATAACAACTGAAATAACCAACATTATTCTTATTAAATTATTATTTACTTTTCCACTAGCCAATTTAATTAATATAAGATGTAAATAATACATAATTTTTGTTTCGGAAAATATAACATGATTATTTAGGGGCCGTTTACCAAACATTTACCCGGTAAGTGTTCATCGACAAAAATTAACACTATCATTTACTTATCGAGTAAGATTTTAGTTCATCAAAATGACATCGTATGCAACAATTTACCCGGTAAACACTTACTGTGATAAGAGTCGTTGCCTTCATTTACCGGGTAAGACTCTTGGTTCTTGTCTTGCTTTTACCGGGTAAGATTCTTGGTTCTTATCATATTTATCCGGTGAGGTAATGTGATTTAGTAAGCGTTTATTCGGGTAAGCATTTGGTAAACAATCTCTCACTTAGGAAATTTTTTGTAAAATATTCATGAAATTAATAATTTTTTTGTACTAAAATATATTAAAATATTAGTCAAATTATTATATTAAAACATTATTTTTTCTTTCGAGCAAATGTGGTAATGAGAGATGTGAACGAAAGTCAGATATTTTGCTTGAAATATATATAATTAAAAAATAATTGAGTTTTAAAAAAATAATAATAATAAAATAAATAAAGAGTTGTACTTTACGCTTAATTGATAGTACACTGGAAAGGAAAGGATAGTTGGTGTAGAAAGACGAGACGAGATAATTTGCCGGTGAACGAGTTGAATTGACGAGATATCTGTACCAAACTGCTAACGTAAGCCCCGTGCATCGCTTTTGATGCTAACATAAGCGACGGGTGCGCATCCTATTTAATCGTCCCATCCACACACAATAACACCATGCCCTTCAACCTCCTCAAACTCACCTCCATATCTTCTTCTCTCCACCTCCACCACCGGCGCCAATACTGGTGGCTTGGCTACGCAATCGCCACCGGGAGATCTAGGACGCCACCTGCGATGTGCTCGAGCTGGTGGAGGACTACAACCTGTGCAACCCCAGTGTACGATAATAATAGCAACGATAATAACAGTAATAACAGACTAGGGTTTCGTGGTCAGAATAATTTGAGGTATTCATCCAAAGATAAAGGAGGAAAGCCGTTTAACGGTGGTGGTAGAGTCAGTATGGGATCCGTAAACAATGATAACAGAGATGACAAATGGACAACGGAGAATGATCGCGGCGCCGCTGTCATGTCTACATTGTCGTCGGACAACCACCGTAACCTAAAATCTCCGGCTTCTAAACAAAATACGTCGACTAAATTCCTCACGTTGCCTACGATCTTAACAATCGGACGGGTTGCGGCCATTCCTGTTCTCGTTAGCAGTACGTCCTCCCTCATCTCTTTGTCAATATTTATGCGTTTCGATCTTACAGGACAACAGAATTTGGGCTCCAAGATCGAAGGATGTTATGATATTTCATAAAATTGTGGACATGTTGTGAACGTTTGTTTGATAGATATGCAATTAGATAAATTTATGTAAATGGAAAATGTTGTAGATATCAGATGGCAAGGAAGTGAGGCAACCCGTCGGAGATCTTTACTTTCCTATAAATCATAGGTTCAAATAATTCATTTGTTTCTAAACTTTTATTTTTTAGGTTCTATTGGGTTTGATTCAAGAACGATGTTGGATTATGTTCAATTATCGTCTCCGTATAGATTGTTGTTTATTGCAATTGCTGCAAATATTTCGTAATGTATGTAGTCTGTAGATGAAATTTTTTTTGTTACTCTAATTTATGCAATTTGGAGCCATTTTGCGGATATGAACTATTCATATAAGAGAATCTTTTCTGCTCAGGGAAGCTACTTATATGTTTTCCTAAGCTGCAGCATTCTGCTATTAGTTTCTGTGTTGTTGATGATAAATGATAATCTGTGGAAGTTATGAAAGTCAAGACAGGCTGGCTTTTAAATCAACTATTCATATGGATGCATATTTTGACTTCAGTTTAACTGCTTGACTGCTCTGATAGTTGAAATTGCATGAACTATTTTACTTCTGGAATTTGGTTTTGATAAGACTCAAATAACCAGCTGGAAGTAAGATTACTGCTTATTATTTACTGTAGTGGATGTTTTATGATTCCTGTTGTATGTATTGTTCGTCTAATGATACTAACATGCTTTATTTTGAATTTCATTAGCTTTTTATATGAATAGTCGGCTGGGGACAACTGCTACCACAAGCATCTTCATTGCTGCAGCAATTACAGACTGGCTTGATGGGTATCTTGCACGAAAAGTATGGATTCATATGTTTAAACATTAAAAAGAAGATAAGCGAATTTCATTTCTAAATTAATTGATCTCCCTTTGATGCATTTTAGATGAACCTAGGAACCGCATTTGGCGCATTTTTAGATCCAGTGGCTGATAAGGTATGTCTTTACTTGATTGCTTATTTGGACATTAAAATCTGTAATTTTCATTATACCCTCTTTTTATAAGCTGTTGCTTTTCTAGGAAGTAGTTAGATGTTACTGTTGGATATTATATTTTTCATGGTTTTCCTGTTTAGTTTACTAGATACACCTTTATATAACACTTTGGGGCATCTTCTCTATCTTCATTTAATTATTTGTGCTACTGGGTGCAGCTTATGGTTGCCACTACCTTGGTCTTGTTATGTACAAAACCTCCAGAAGCTGCTATGATTGGACAATTGCCTTGGTTATTGACTGTACCATCAATTGCAGTAATTGGCAGAGAGGTAATCCCCGAGCTTAACACATTTTCATGCAGATGCAGGATAGTCAGTTATCTAACCATGTAAAATTTCAATTAGAGGGCATATTTGGGTGTATCATTTACTCATCTTTTTTCATGGTATTGTTCCCTTTTCTTCTATAGGCTATTAATTGGTGAAACTGCAGCACAACAATTTAACACGTGTTGTATCAGCTTGCAGTTAGGTCAGTGGCTAGTTAATGCTGATTAAAAAGTAAAGCTGCTGATGGCTAACTTGGAAGCGATACACTATCATTTGTAACTATGATAATAATGAGAATGTTGGCTAGAAAGCGCTGCACACATTGCAGAATGAAATATTTGAGATTGGCTCAAAACTGGCATACATAACATGGCAAAGCTGCCAAACACAGTCTGATTCCCTTCTTTTCCTAATAACTAGAATTTGACACATTGATGTTTCTTCTTTCTTTCTCTCTCTATGTGAACCAATTAATAGGCTTTTAGCATAACAAAGGAATTGCGGGTTAGGCAATTACTTGTTTGTCTATTGGCACATGTCACATGCCACATGTATATGTGGTGCCATTTTTTTGTTTTCTTCCACAATATGTATCTGTAAGCATGCATAAACCCTTTTCAACAAGTATGATCTTAAGATGATGCATTTGAGATATGTGCTTTGTTTTGATGTACATGTTGGTATAAAGCTGATTTTGGACCATCCAATTCTAAGATTGTTGTAGCATTTGCACCAGTCATCGCCTCTGTGTTGTCTTTGTGTGCTTTTGTTGAACTTACAGGAGAGTTTCTGATCAGTAAAATTATTCAATGGCATGGAAAATGAATTGTCATGTCTTCTGCTTTTCCCTGTAGTTCTGCATTGGCAGCAATTTAGAACTTGGTAGTGACTCTGAGGTCTGAAGTACACACATTTTAAGGATTTGGTGTTTTTTTCTCTCTATTTTGACTGTATTATTTTTGGAACGCATTCCTCTCAAATTTTAGTAATTTAAGAAACAAATCAATATGTTTTGGTATACCTTTTGTTTTGACATCTTGCATCTCATTTTGTGGCTAGTCTTTAATTTCATTTGTTCATGATGGATCCTTTATTTTCTTCATTTTATGACCAACCCGCATAAGTACATGCCGGATGGTACATTTTTGCTCCTCTCATAGATGATAAAATTAGAGTTTTGAACCGCTATATAAAAAATAATTTAATGAAGGTCTTGTTCCTAGTGGTCTTCAGTTGCAACTTGAATTCAGTCTCAAGTATTCTACTATGCCGACCCTGTTAGATTTGGTTGATTGGGTTTGAGTTATACAACATATAAATATCTTGGTTTCTTATTTTGCTTGTTATAGTATGTATGATCTTGAAAAGGCTCACATAGGATTTGGAGTATATTCCCTTCGTCTTAAGGGCTTCCTTCAGCATGTTTCCTTCTCTCATTTTTTTTAATGTTTGTCAAGTTGGTAACCACTAACCACATACCATAGGACTTTGTTACTTGGTAATTTGACTACGAAGTGCTTCCGTTTTTCTTCCTGAAATGGTCTGTCAAGATAACTATATGACCATGCCAAGACCTATATAACCATCTGCTATGAAGCCATGCTTTGAGGTGCTTGAAGTTGGTTACTGATGTGTTCAGTTTTGGCAGCCCTGAAAGGTTGCAGCTTAACTATATAATAAGTAGTCATGTGATGTGGTCTAAAATCTGATGTGAAAATTTGATTTCTTTTTTACAAGCTTGAGTCCATTTGACATGGATTAACTTGCTCAATAGATGCGCTAATCACTTTAATTTATGGTTGGATGCTTTTTGAGTGTGGTTGAACTGTTTAAAAATGCTTATAATTTTGAACCAAAAATCATCCCCATATTCTACTAACAAATATACATGATTACACCCATGTGCCTCAATTCCTATCCTACATGTGTGTCCCTTGCCACCTCTTCTCTTAGTTTGAGCTTATTGAAAAAGCCTCAATTGATGGAACCATAAACTAGCTTTTTGAAAAGGTATTTTAGGTAGTGGTTCGATAAGCTCTGGGGGAATTTTTCACTTTTCTCCCAAACTTGACTAGTTTTTTTACATCGATAAGCTAGTTTTTACCAAACATGACTAGTTTACCGGCTAACAACTATCTTACTAGCGATCAACTAGCTTTTCAGCCAATAGCCAACTTATCAGCTAGTTTGCCAAACATAGCCTTAGAAGACCCCTGAAATATCATGCATCTAAGGGGTTGAAACTTTTGTTTTCCACCGATTCACTTGGCAATGCAAATGTTAGGAAAATGGATTCTGCAATCAACCTTTCCTTGCATTTGTGATGAACAATTAGGACATTGTAACTGTGCTATAACTTTTTTTTTTTTGTGTGTTTTATCTGTTCTTTCGAACATGAAATTAATCTCAATTTTGCTGTTGCTTCTATATCATAGGGCTAATTGTATGCAATGTTTAACATGATACATAGTTCAATAAAAATGTTGACTATTGATCAAATGGCTCAAATCCCCTTACCGCAAAAGTATGTTTTGCGTTTTTTAGACAACCTAAAAAGGAACATGTCGCATTTTTTTGGGGACGGAGGGACTATATGTAAGATATGACAGTCATTCTGAATACGTGATAAAACCTCTATGACTCGGTACTTTGTACTATGATTACTATGCAACTGCTTGCACCACAGATTTGTGGTCATATCTAAATTCTATGATCATTCACCATTGTGTCAAAGTCCCATTTTTGTTGTTTTGGAATCTTTAAAATCCTTTTTTTTTGCTGCAGGATCCTGTGCTGAATCATAACTTCCTTTTGCATCTTGCATTTTCTTCTGACTTTGATGATTTTTCTGTTGAACATAAAATTTTAGCTGAAAACTTTTCCCTGCATCCGCATCTTTTTGGTAATTTAAAGAACTTCATGATCTGCAAGTATCTGATGAACATCTTACAACCTATTCCAGATAACAATGTCTGCAGTTAGAGAGTGGGCTGCTTCTCAGGGTAATAAACTTTCAGAGGTATTTTTCTATCAACAGCGATTTTATTTGATTACTTTTGGATAACTGCGCATCGCGTTTCTCCCTAGTCTCTTAAAATAATAACGCATGATTTGCAGGCTGTTGCTGTAAATAATTTGGGGAAGTGGAAAACAGCCACACAAATGACTTCATTAACCATTCTTCTTGCAGTTAGAGATAACAGGTTTGTTTGCAATCATCCGTTTCTTCTTGCTTTTCACTAAACAAGTCCACGTTTTGACTTTCGGATCGTCATATGCTAGCTTACATAACTTCCAAAATCGATTAGAACAGAAATAAAAACATATCCGAGCATACTAGTCAAATTCAAAAGTGGACCCTAAATATGAGAAATAATTGATGTTGGAGCACAAAAATGCAGTTTTACAGAGGTAGGGCTTCTGGGAGCATCTGGTGTTGCTTTACTTTACGTATCGGCTGGGCTAGCTGTATGGTCATTGGTTGTGTATATGAAGAAGATATCGAAAGTAATGCTGATGTAAACTCTTAAAAAAAAACCTTAACGACAGCCGGCTTCAACCCCCTCACTTCACACCCGAAGCTGCTGTTTTTTTACCAAGTTTTCTTATATTTTGCCACATACTATATATGCTGCTATAGATTTCCGTTGGTCGTTCAAATGTCGTCCTCATGTTGATGTTTTTGTTCTACCGAGGAAAAACAACGTAATATAAAATTGAATAATTTTTTGATGTTAATTTGCTGTGACATATGAGGCACAGTTTTATTATGTTTCATTGCTTGTAGATTTGATACAAACCAGATTCCTGAGCTCTATATTGTATTTTGAGAAGTGTTATATACTTTATTACGAATCACCAGAGTATTATCCGTTTGTTGTTTATATACGTAAATCTTCAGGTGACAAATGATTGAACCACATGGATTGTGTGACCGACTCTAACCGGACATTTTGTGTAAAACAGTAGAAATGGGGCTGTAGTTATTTAGATTTTGGTAGTAAGGGTCTATTTCATGATGTTAGACGGTTGTGATAACGTATAGGGACAAGTTCGGTTTATTTTATATTACGAACCGGGGAACCAACGAGAGCGTGCCATGTATTTGGCACATTGATGATGGATGAATATGAACCGTGTGGTGGTTTGCAATAGTTTTGTTGTAAGGTTGATCTAGTAGTTGCTTTTGCAAAAGTCTGAAAATTTTGGTATTTGGCTTTATGTTGAAAAGCATACCTACCTACCATAAATCAAAATTGAAGAGTTAAATATTGAGTTTCACATAATAAAATTGGTTACGAAAGAAATGGATATGGTGGTATTAGTTTTAGTAATCAAAATTCATCAACAACTTACATCTGATTATTACAAGTTTAAGCGTTAGAAAAACATGCTAAGGGCGCATAGGCTTATAGTTGATTAGTGATGGCCAAAAACCGGTCCTGGGCCGGGCCTAATCAGTTCCAAGCTTTCTCATAACTGGCCATAATCGGTCCCACGAAACTACCAAAAACACCAACTGGTCTCGGTTTTCGGTTCCATAACCGGTCTTCAGGCGGTTCTGGATCAGGCCGGGCCGATTTGGTCATCACTAACTGTGTCTAACAATCAGCTTCATTTTATAAAATATTCCCTAATCCCTATCATAAATCATGTATTTCTACTTCTATATAAAAACCACCACTTTCATCTAATTTTTTAATTAAATTAACTGATATAAATCATTAATTTTAAGTCATTATTAATGATGATTTTTATTACATCCTTCTTTTCAAAAAGTAAAAAAAAAGACAAATGTGAACCATAAGGATGGTGCCTGATTGGTTTGAGCTTGACTCTAATAGTCAAAAGTACAAGAAGGTCTCAGGTTCAAATCTACGGAGGAATAAAAATCCCTTTGTGGCCACGGAGGTTCAAATGTGGTGACTCCGAGCTATCTGCAAAGCAGTTAGTCGTCCTGGAATTAGTCGGCTCGCATAGTGGGTTCAATATCCAAGTTAATAAAAAAAAAAAAAAAAGACAAATGTGAATTATAATAATATAAACATGCTATTAATATTTTTATTTTATCCATGCAACTGAAAAATGACAATGACATTTTTACCCATCTGACGTCAAATACATTGGCATAAAGTTTTATCCCTTTCCTCATGTTACCCACCAAATAACTGACGCATATGCCCTAAATCAGCTTAACAACGTTTCAACAAAAGAAATCTGTCAATGGGTAAGCAGTAACGGGAACCGGACCGAACCGACGGGTAAGATTCTTGATCATCAAAATAGCATCATATGTAACAATCTTACTCGGTAAGTGTTCAACAGTAAGAGTTATCAACCAGGTAACACTTTCGTTGCTTGCCATGTTAATTCAGTAAGCGTACTTTTATTTTCACAATAAAAAACTGATGAAAACATCGGCCCTATAAACATTTTCAGTAGCCCAACACCCAAAAACCACTTGATTTCAAGGAATGTGGTGGATTATTGAAAAACAAACAAGAAAAAGTTGCAGATAAAGCACAATAAGAAATTTCCTCAAGAGAATTCTGATATTGTAAACCCTGATTACGCAAACTAAACTAAAACTAAACTAAACTAAACATGCCAATTAGTAAAGAAGGATTACATGAGAAATAAGCAGGCAGCTTCATAATTGGGGGAAAACCTTATCAATGGAAGCATGGTACTTTGGATCAGCTAACCATAGTTTAGCAAGAAACTGATAAGACGATGTCAGCCTGTGAACTTCTTCCATCAGCCAGACGTTAGTTTCCGCTTTACACGGATGAATTATGGTGTCTAATGCTGCTGCACCTTCGTCACTCGCCATTTCATCCCACTCTTTCATACGAATGTTGGTCAGGTAATGGAGCGGCTGCTGGTACAACTGTTTCATGGATGTGGCTAGATCTTTCCATGTGGCAAACGGGATGACTGTCCCACGCTGTGCCGGAATTGGGATCTGCTGCATGTACTCTTGATACATTTTTGCACTTTTGGTCAATAATTCTGCATCAATGCAAGATTTCTTAGTCATCTTAAAGACCCTACTTAATTAGGTGCATTTGGTACGTGGGGACAAAAACTTCTTGTCCGTGTGACATTAGACTGGTTGAAAGATGTGACTGAGTCACCAAAATAGGTAGAACAAAAATCAGAGAGATGTGACAAGGTTGGTAAAATACTAAACTACCCATCAAATTAAAACCCTAAAACCTTCCACATTTTGTTCGGTCTTTGTCCCATCCGCGTACCAAATGCATGTGTACTATTGAAGAAGCAGAGGAAGAATAACCAAGTCAAGATGATACAGATCAACCCTTTTTCCGACAAAAGATTAATTTAGCCAGATCCAAAAGTTTTTGCAAAATCAAGCACTATCTTTGTAGCTTAATTACTCAAGGGATCTAAAGAATCAAAGACAGTAATGAGCTCAAATGCAAACCCATAACTTCAAGATTATTGACCTAATATGATAGAAAAAACAAAATAGTGGGTGTGCTGATTAGAATTATGGTCTTCATCCAGATGAACTAATTTGTCTAACATTGAGAGCAATTCCTTAGACCAACTAATATATGAAATTCTGAAAACATCAAAAATATCGATTTGTGTTTATCAATTGGCTTCTCTTAATTCAGAGGTAACTTCTAGAATCATTTTATAGTAATTGTATCAGTGGAAAAGAAAAGTCATTTGGAAGATTTCTAATATGTTAAAAAGGTTCATAACTTAAAAAAGGTAAATCTCAACCACCCCAATGCTGCTGTCACAATAACTAGAGATATGAAACGATTTGCTAAATGTGTATGGTAACATTGGCTGCATCTCACCAAAGGGCTTTCGGCCTAGCGGTATCGTAGTCCTTGGCCTCCTAGGAGGTCAAGGGTTCAAACCTCACCAACGGTGAGGAGGGTGTGTGAGTTTATTTGTTGCATTTGCCGTATATAAATATTATATACTTCAAAAAGAAAAAAAACATTGGCTGCATCTTTTTACCCTTTTAAGTATATATAGGTCTAAGAGAAGAAGCAGGTGAAGAAATTACCTTCAGTTTCTACTTTTTTGGCAGGATTGATAATTGCAGTCTCACTTTTTGGTCGCTTGCCACCAGCAAGATTTTTGGTTCCGTTGGATGGAGAAGGTTCATCATCATCATCCGATGATATATCTAAAGCAAATGGCATGGTCCTCTTCATAGTGAATCACATGCAACCTGGCAAGAAAAACGATGATGCAAATGATAGTTGGCACAAGTGATATGGTAAATCACGAAAAGAACATTAGCAATGATTCCTTTAGTGGAGACAGTAAAACATGAACTTACACAAATTATGAACGTTATAGAACAGGTTATAAATAAAAAAGGGGCAGGAGGAACCAAATTAAGTGACGGTCAATCAATAATACAGAAAGCATAAGAAGGCTGGCTACATTCATAATTCTACTAGCCTCATTCCTTCGGAGATATATTAGATTCTTAGAGAAGCTCAAACCTTCATCATAAGCTGTAATACTCAGAATTTTAGTTGTTTAGAAGTAAACAGCACACATGTTGACAAAATCACACCAATGAAAACATATAAAATATTTGATCACTCTACCAATTATGAAAAACATGTTGGTTTTGATGTTTAAGAACTGCAGAATATATCATAATGTCACCCTGATATAGTTTAACATCAGCAAGAACAATATGATACCTGGTTCTATTCTTTTCTGCATGACAAACAGTGTCACTGACCTACTTCTCACTATAAATGAGGGAGTCATTGTGAAGTTCGGTGCGACAAGTTATCTTAGGAAATGGTTATTTTACGCCCTACAAAGAATCTAAACTTCCATTATGTTGAACAAAGTCCAGGACTGCAAAGTCATTTGTTGCAAGGCTGCCTTACCACATTATATGAAATTAGGTCCCGGATTGAAAAGGTGTGATGCACGAATTTTGGGTGATCTTAAAAACAAGACCTTAATCACACAGAATTTTATCAAGAAACTAAAATTGTCGTTTCTAGCATTACAAGCTTTGTAAAGAACAAAACCCTAAGAAACAACAAAGACATAAAAGGGGATCCAAATTTCCCAAATGGGTGTTAAATGTCTACAAAAAACCGAAATTGAATAACCAACAAATTCTTTTTACATTTTCCCTTGTATAATGCAGTCAAACATGTGTAAGCAACTATTCTAACTGACAATCTCACATGTAGATCATAAATTGGCCTAGGAAAATCAGCAACATTCAAAACTAATTCATCTTAACAAGCACCCCAAGTAGAGGAGAGAGAGAGAGAGAGAGAGAAGATTAATGTGGGTTTAGTGCCATTTGTGTGTAACTGCTATAAAGAGATAACTTAAGACCTGAAACCCTAGAATGAACCCTAATTCCACACAAGGAAATTGCATGAATTGGTGCTTGGATCATTGAAATTGGAATATGAAGTCAGAATCAAGCTCATTAGTTTCAAAAGTTGAGCTACTCGTGCTCAATTCTGCTGCCAAGCGATGAAATCGAAGTTCGTAAACATGCATCCATCTAATGAGAAGTACATCACCAGTCGCTAAATAATAATTTGGAATTTCCACAAGAAAACCCCAAGATACTCCATCTCTTCCAAAATTAGAGAAAACAGTAGTCCCCATGTACTGTAAAAAGAAACCCAGTTCAAATATTTGTGAATTTGTAATGGGTAGAATTAACAAACACTTGTAAGGCATAAAACTAGGTTCAAATTAGATGGAAGTTGCATCCGCATCAAAACAGAACAGAACAAAACCAAACCAAAAGAAACATCTTTGATGATTTAAGACAGACCTAAAACAAGCAAATATCCAGAAATTGAAACCGAGAGATACACATTTAACTTACACAGAAACCCTCCGTCAGTCGGCTCTGAACTCTCTCTCTCGCTCTCTGTTTCCGTACCGTTACATGCAATTCAAAGCTCGATTCTAGAGAGAGAAAGAGTGTGTGTGTGTGTGTGTCTGCGTGGCGTAAAGAGAAAAAGGGAATCTTAAATTGTGACCCGATCAAGCAGCGTGGATCCTTGCAAGATCCGTATATGTGGTTTTATCAAGGGTTAGGGGCTCTTTGGATCGCTCTTAATGCTGAAATTAAGAGGGAACCTCTTACTGAGTAAGAGGTATGAGTTGTTTTGCAAAAAAAAATGACAACTTAATGGTTACGAAAATCTCTTAAGGATTTAGAATGAGGATTATATCGTGTTTGGCTGGTTTTATTATTTTAAACCCAATAATTTTCATATTCAATTAAAAATATTATATAATACATTTTTTTATGATTATATTGGTTTAATCAAACATCGTGAATGTGTTGCTTATTTCTATTCTGCTGCATTCTCATTTTCATCTTCATTCTTATTCCTTAAAAGGAACCAAACGTCTTCGTCTCGTTGCCAGGTGCTACGGACAGCGTCCCCTAAACCTGTACGAAACTTATAAAGAAAAGTGCTTGCAAAACTTGAGTTTCTATATGTCGCAAGTGAAATTCAAAATGCAATAAGTCTTCTTGACTAATACAAATAGAAAATGGCGTTTGATTTACATAATTTAATTAATTAATTATTTATTTATTAGATTTAAATGGGTTAAAAACAATTCTTACCCAATTTGGGGAATAGAACACAACCATATAACCCGATGGGAGTTGCTGAAAATGGCGAATCCGGATCTCTTAACCCGATTTGAAAACAAAACAAATAATTCAAAATTGATGTGGCGGGTCATCTTATAGTTTTTTTCAATTTTAGAGATATTGATATTAATTTTAGAGCAAAATGTGCGAAATAACAATTTATTTTTATAAAATTTTTTATTATAACATTTTATTTTCAGTTTTTCTTATTACAGCATTGTACTTTTAAAATATTTTCACATTCAGTTAATTTTCTCAATTTACATATATATGTTCACGGTTACTGAACACTGAACATATATACGAATGAGTTATATAGATATGTGAATAGATTGAAAATATGTGTATGTGAAAAGCATACATGATAGTGTAATTGTCTAATGTATATATTAATAGAAACTCAACAATCATATTAGCTCCAAGAACTAAAAGGATAACGGGTTTATTGGGTTGGGTTGAGTTCAAATAATAGTAACTCAATATCAACCCAATACCTACGGTTTGACAATTTTATAACTCGATTAGACATCGGATTGCTTCGGGTTGGGTTATTTCACGTTGGGTTGGGTTGGGTTGATCGGGTTTTTGAGCACCCCTACTTATAGCATTGGGTAACCTTTTAAATTAAGTTTACTCATTATACCAGGTTTCTTTGCTACTCATTGTCCATGTAAGCTGTCCACATGTACGATAGTGCTGACATGACATTTCTTATTATAACATTGTATTTTCAAAATTACTTTATTATAATATCATCAATGTTTATTACAACATTGTACTTTTAAGGTTAATATTTTTATCATTTAAACATTGTAAATTTAATCCAATTGAAACTGGTTTTTAATATTTTTATCATTTAAACGATTCATCTCTCGACACATAAAACTGATTTCGTAAATTACTTTCAGGCCTTGTAAGAAATGTTGTAAAGAATTGCTTGTCAGCCACTGATGGGTACCTTCTTTTCTCACCACAACTTCTGTATTAATTGACGTCTATTTGTGTCGTGTGTGAATGTATGCCTGCTTGACTGATCAGATCATGGAAATTACAATTATTCCATTTCAAATCTCAAGTTAACTCATGATTACCCATTTGACTAAGGTATTTATCAACTTTGTAGGCTAAGAACTCATTGCGTTACGGAGCGTTATTTAATGAGTTCCTATCTGGCAGCAATTGACTCATTCAATTCTTTTCCAACAAACATTAGCAAACAACTACTTAATTAGTTACAACGTTTCTTAAAAGGTCTGAAAGTAATTTATGAAATCAGTTTTATGTGCCGAGAGATGAATCGTTTAAATGATAAAAATATAAAATCAGTTTCAGTTTGATTAAATTTACAATGTTTAAATGATAAAAATATTAAACCTAAAAGTACAATGTTGTAATAGAAATTGGTGATGTTATAATAAAGTATTTTTGAAAGTACAATGTTATAATAAGAAATGTCATGTCAGCACTATCGTACATGTGTACAACCTACGTGGACGATGAAATGACAAAGAAACCTGATATAATGGGTAAATTTAATTTAAAAGGTTACCCAATGCTATAACGGGTAAATTTTTGAAAGCACGATGCTCTAATAAATTTTTTTTAAAATACATTACTGTAATAAGAAAATTTGTAAAAGTATGTTGCTATTTCGCACATTTTACTCTTAATTTTATCATTAAAATATTTGATACATTTAGTACTGCAACAAACTTTTCAATAATATAGTAATTTTATAATCTATCTTCTTCATAACAAGTAATTTTATGATCTATCTTTTTTTTCTTTGAAGTATATAATATATATTTTATATACGGCAAATGCAACAAACAAACTCACATACCCTTCTCACCATTGGTGAGGTTTGAAACCTGACCTCCTAGAAGACAAAAGGCTCAGATATCGTTAGACCAAATGCCCTTTGATTTTATGATCGATCTTCTCCATAACATGTAAAATACTTCAATAAACTTTTCGATAAATTTATCTCAAAATTCATAGAAATTTTAATCTCTCATCATTTATTCATTATAGAATTTTTAAAAATTAAGTTAGGGGCCGTTTACCAAACGCTTATTTGGATAAGTGACACCAAGTCATTTTACTTTACCGTATGAATATGGTAAGGATCAAAAATCTTACCTGGTAAGAGCGAGACAATGACCACGAGTCTTACCCGGTAAGTGAGGGCGACAACTCTTACCACGGTAAGCGCTTACCAGATAAATTGTTGCGTACGATACCGTTTTAGTGGACTAAAATCTTATCCGGCAAGTAAATGATAGTGTTAAATTTACCGATAAACCTTTACTGGATAAGTGTTTGGTAAACGACCCCTTAATGTAAAAAAAACTCGAAGATCACTATTTTTTCCATTTGGTAAACTGTAATACAATCATTATCACTAAGCCCTTAGTTCCTTGAGGGAGGGAAACTTTGCTTCAATTGTACCAAGAGTAACATATGCAAACTCTTTGGAATTCACCCAAAAAAAGTCTATCAACGATTGGTTTGAGCTTGGCTCTAAAGGTCAAAAGTACCAGGAGGTTTCAGGTTCAAATCCAAAAAGGAATAAAAATCCCATCGTGGCCACGGAGGTTCAAATGCGATGACTCCGGGCTATCTACAAAGCAAGTAGTCGCCCTGGGATTAGTCGGCTCGTATATCAGGTTGGATATCCAGGTTAATAAAAAAAATCTATCAACGATTTGCATATGCGCCGAACCATCATTAAAAGATGAGTCTAGTGTTTGGTGCGGAATTAAATGAAGTGAGCTTCGAGAATCTACTCAATATTTATAAAGAGAATATCGAGTTGGATTTTAGTTTTGGAGCTTTAAGTTCACAATATGAGCTGAATTCAAGAGTTGTAGATTTTTATATGATTCCGCACTTAAACCAATTCACTTGAAGATCAAAATTTCATTGCTTTTGTAGATTTTTGGGCTTCACTTGAGGTCGTTTTTACCAGGTTTGAGCTTAGATTTAATTGATAGATTTTAGCAGTTTTCCTTTTCAGGTATAAGATAAGCATGTGGGAATTAGAGTCCTCCTCCATGTATAGTTTTCTTTTTATGATTATTTTACGCTATTTAAGCACGTGTACTTTAATGAAATAAAGTCAGATTTTTTGAATGAATCAAAACGTTTTTTTTATTGTTTTACATAATGCAATATGGTTAGTTCGGGTGAACTCGTTCTTGTAAGCGAGGGTTCGTTTGCAAGTTTGAGAGATTGTCTTTGTGGGTGGTGCGTCCAGTAAACATAGTCAATTGGTCTAGGTATTCCGATTGCGTTCTTGGTGGTTCGACGAGTACAGAGGTACTGTGGAGGTTTGCAATTGTGTGTGTTAAGTTTCGACTTTACATACGCATCAGTGTTGCATGTTGATAATGGATTGGTCGATTTCCATCATCGACCAACATCACTTTTTGTACTCTTTTCTTATTACATCAATAAAAAAAACATATTTGATGCATCGATAGAACATTAACGGTTTCAACAAAAGCAATATCAACGAAGTTAAGTAGACTTCTTGTTCACTTTAAGCAATAGGTCTCTATAGCGGATTCGATTACCCATTTTAATGTTTGTAACTAATAAAAACGTTCAAAACTTTTAGCATAAACCCGTAATAAGTTTTTGAATAAGCCACCTTTTTTATATCATTAATTTACCATCAAACAAACATGTATAGTTGTTGACCGAATAAGCTGTGAGACTCATTAAGCTGCTAACAAAGATCCCTTGATATTCTAATTCCTTGTCATATTCACCAGTAAACGTTTGGTAAATGACTCTTACATGTACATTTTTTTTTACCCAAACATATTTGACTCATTGCAAATAGTCATCATTCTTGTATTTTAACTTCAACGGTTTATCAATTTTAAATGTTATGTTGTTCATTTTATTATTAACATATTTCAATACATTTAATACTTCAACAAACTTTTAAAAAAAATACTGATTTAACGTACTATCCACTTTATAGTAAGTGAAAAATAGTAAACCTCTTTTCCCTCCAAAATACAAAATTTGAAGATTTCTTGTGTCGCTTCAAAATACAGATAAAATTATCTCATATCCTTTTTGTCCATTTGGTAAACTAAAATACAATCATTATTGCTACGGCCATAGTTCCTAGAGTGAGGAAAACTTTGCTTCAATGGAAACGAGAACAACGTATCCAAAGATTGAGGATATTACCTGATGGGTATAATAAAAACCAATAACCTGAGAGAGAAAATTCTTACAGTTATCCATTTTGATGACTGAGAATGTTACCTGATAAAGTAACAGACGATGATAGACTTTTATGGAGAAGTGCTTGATAAACAGCCCATAAATGTCGAATTTTGACCCAGTCATATGCGAGTTGTTGCAAACAATCATCATTCAACCACAAGAATGGTGCCTGGTTAGTTTAAGCTTGGCTCCAAAGGTCAAAAGTACCAAGAGGTTCCAGGTTCAAATCCAAACAGGAATAAAAATCCCCTTGTGGTCACGAAGGTTCAAATGCGGCAAGCCGGTGACTCCAGGCCATCTGAAAAGCAGGTGGTCTTCCTGGGATTAGTTGGCTCGCATAGCGGGTTGGATATCTAGATTAATCAAAAAAATCATCATTCTTGTATAAACACACCCACATAAATATGAATTAACAAATGTAATTGTGATTTTGTGTAAAACTTATTGAATATAATGGTATTGTAAAGAAAAGAAAAACAAACAAGAACAAATACAGCAATCTCTGCTATCTATTAAACAAAATCACAAATCTATTACAGATTACACTCACAGTGGCTTCATAGATACAAATCATGGTCTTGCCCAGTATTATCTTTCTTCTCTTCATCTAAAAATGTTCAAAACTAGATTAGGAAACGATCTCCAACTCACAACATAAGAAAAGGCAGATGAACAAAACAGCTCGCAGTGATGTAATCAGGTCTCAACGTCTCTTCCGGCGCTTGCTACGCTTGTGATCACTCTCGCTATCACTATCGCTATCGCTGCTTTCATCTGAGCTTGACGATCCAGATCCTGAACTAGAAGAATCTGAATCGTCTGACTCAGAAGCTGGCTTTTGTTGCATGATGAGACGCGGCATGTTCTTCAGATACTCTCTCAAGTTCTCTGTGATCCCACCGAGCCCAATGGATGTGAAAAAGTTGATTGAAAACCGGGTATTCTTGGGGTTGTCTCGTGGGAAGATGGATTCAAAATCCGCCTGCATCGTGGGCTCACTGAGACGCTCATTCAAGAGACCAATGCCGAGATGTTCAGACAGCTCCTGTACCATATAACATGGAAATCGGCCTTAGCAGCTTGTAAGATAGGCTTTCAGTTAAGGAACAAACAATCAATGAACTTTTTCATTTTCACCACACAGAAAAACACACATACAGATGAAAAGGTATGAATAACCAAACTAAACATATCCGATATATCCTACATTGCGTAGTCTAGGAAGGGTATGATGTATACGGACCTTCTTGTCTGACGGGCTTAACCCTCTTTATGGATCAAATTACAAATTATGTATGATGATGCAAGTTCCGCTTGTCCATATGCATTTACAGAATATCATAAGTACGGGATAAATGACCTTTTCCAGAAGCGTGTTTTGCAAAATGATCCTCTAGTGTATTTTTAAGTTTTTACGAGAGCAGACTGTTTTGAACCAGGGAAATGTCGGATGAACGTCATTGAGCTTTAAAAAAAATTAAAAGGTCATGCTCCTAATTGAAAACTCAAGTAAGATCATTTATCCAAAGAACCCATGATAGTAGCAATACTTGTAAGCATGCATCAGTAAAGGTGGTAGTGGTGTACGTGGGTCAAAATCTTATTGTATGTACATCAGGGTTTACATTCAGCCGTGTAATAATCAATCAATGAAAGATGTCAAATAGTATCAGATTTAGATATACGATGACAAGTCATGAAGACCGTAATCACTCACCTGGAAAAGAATCTTGATGAAAATTCGGGAAGAGGAAGTTGTGTCCTCCTCAGTCAGCCGAATATAAGCCAAAACATGCCAAGGCAAAGCATCAGTCCCAAGTAAATGTGCAAAAAACTTGGCCACGTTACGCAGCTTATTCGTCTCGAGTCTATGGATCATAGAGTATTGCTGCACAAAACATTTCTCAAAATTTTCTTGGTAGACTTTGTTGATCATACAAAACCGCTGTCCCAAAAGGCCATAGTAACGAAGGTAAGTTCTTTCCTGACTGCAGCACTCTAATAACATTATACACAGTTCCATCTGCATATACCACATAGCTTTGTCAATTTTCTGATTTTGTGAAATAATAGTACTTCAAATGATGATAAAAAAATTATAAAAACATTCAAGCTTAACAAGATGCCAAGAAAAAAAAATCCAGAAGCAGGAAATGAAGATCATACTATCCAAACACATTCTTAATTATTCACTTAAATGAAAAGGTTAAGTAAATAAAACAAAATATTTCCCATCTCTAAAAGATTCAGGATGTCATCCATTCCCTCATGCCATTCTTTCCATCGTCTACCCAAAAGATCAAACCACAGGCACAACCTCCCCTCCCTCTTACACGCCCACCAAATCCACCATATTTTTAACCCTCTGGCAAAAAGAAGACTTGAGAGAGAGAGAGAAATGAAAGATAATACAAAAGCATGCCTCATAAATATCCTAGATGACATGCATCAAAGAAACAAAGATGGGTAATACAATGCTGAAGGGAACCAGACAGGAATATATTGATAAATGTGCAGAAAATAGAACAAACTACCAATAATCGAAGTTAAGGAACAAATAAAGACCTATATCCAAGAGATAGAGCTATCCTAGATATCGGTCATATGGATGTTCACTGGGTAATTGCTGTTTGTAATAAAAAATACGCATGAGAATCCCATTCACATCCATCCTACTCATATACTCACAGAAATATGCAAATAAGAAAACTACCCTCTAATAACCAATTTAGGCCTATCAAATGCACAAGCAGAAGTTAGCATATCTCATTTATGAAATACTTCTTTCTTACCTCCTGTCCTGGCTCCAGTTTGATTTTCAGAAGTTTATGACCAGCTTCCTCAAAATCAACACTAGACATAATTGTCAAGTATATGGTTCTCCGGAGATTGACAAGATTTGTCTCTGTCTCATCCCTAATTCTCATCTGCTCCTCATCCTCTTCTTCCGAAGATTCATCTTCCTCGTCATCTGAATCCTCACCACCCTCTTCTTCTTCTTCAGATTCATCACCAAGAATGGTTTTCTTCAAGTCTTCATAGCGCTTTTCGTTCTCGATGAAACTAGGATCCAACTTGAAAATATCTAAAATGCACAAAAAAACCGTAAGACCCACATATTGTAACACTTGGAAAATAAACATTATCCATATATTTTTATGTACCTAAGGAAATCTCTGGATCGATCTTATCCAGAAGCGATACTTCATGTGTTAACTGATCTTCCAGCTCAACAAGGTCCAACTCTGGACGAACAGCTGGATGCCCCTGCATAATTAAACTCAGTAAGCAGGTGTAGCAGATTGAAAATATATAACTTATAAATGGTAACATAATGCATAACATGCCAATGCTCTAAAAGATTTTAACCTGAAACTTGGCCTTTCTGAGTGCAAAGAGACCTTCAATCAAGAACTGCACCCTTTTGTCTATCTCTCCCTCATGAAGAATTCCACGAAAGCGCTCAAAAATACCTGGATAAAACAAAGCATGAAATATGTCAAATAATGTCAATGACAATATGATACTGCATATGGTTGTAAAACCAGGTTCTAGTCATATGAAATAAAATGAATAAACGGACAATTGAGCTTATATTCTCAAAAGATAAGGGTAAAACAAAATGACAATAAATTAACTCACCATGCAAACCTCGGGGACTTAGATCCTGAAGTATGGATCCACATTCAGTAACAAAACCAACAGCAACCTCCACACTATCATCAGTTGGATTTTCTAACAGAGTTGTGAGTAGTTCAAGAGCAATAAGCTCATGAACTATCTGCTGGTTGACCAAATGGGCTATAAACTTAACCGCAGCAAGCAATTGAGGCTGCAAAAACACAAAAGACCAATGTAATCAAACACTAAGCAACCATTAAAACTCAATCTCACAAAAGATGAGAGATAAAACCAAGAGAGGAGAAAGAAGATAATGTGCACCTTGTCATTTCGCTTATATGCCCTTTGAAGCTGCAAAATAATCCTCCTCAGTAGAAGGTCTCCCACTTCAGGGAATTTGGTGTTTACAACTGCAACCAGCGCTGCAAAAACGTCTGTAAAACCAGGAGAAGCCATTTGGGACTTCATACAGGATCGACAAAATAGTCCTCTTCCCCTGATCAAATTTTCAGCAAACAACTCAGGGATGATATTCTTGATATTTGTTGCATTGACCTTGTTGACTAACCCATTTATACTCTTTCTTAATGCATCCCATGTCATTCTTTGATATTCCATGCTACTTTTATCTTGAACTTCATTCATCATACGAGCCAACTTAAATGGAGGAATGTAAACTCCTCCACTCTTCCCTAAGTTGGTCATGCTTTCTTGCATTTCGGCCAGCTTTTGAAACCGTGGGCCTTCATCCACCTTTGCATCCTTATTCCTGTCCCTTCTCCTCCTGTCCTTACTATCATCTTCATCATCACTCCTTCTATCCCTACCCTTTCTCCCTCTCTTCCTGATTTCACCATCTTCCTCATCACTCCTGCCCTCATGCTTTCCCTTTCTCCCTCTCTTCCTGATTTCACCATCTTCATCATCACTCATGTCCTCATGTTTTCCCTTTCTCCCTCTCTTTCTGATTTCACCATCTTCGTTATCACTCCTGCCCTCATGCTTTCCCTTCCTCCCTCTCTTCCTGATTTCACCATCTTCCTCATCACTCCTTTCCTCGTGCTTTTTCCCTGCTTTCCTAATTTCACCAACTTCTTCACCACTCTGATCATGTTCATCACTTCTTTTCCTGTCTTCACTCTTTTTCCTGTTGCTCCTATCATTACCATCTTCTTCATCACTCCTTATGTCCTTGTTCTTACCTCTTTTCCTCCTGTCTTCATCCATTTGCTTGTTCCTCCTATCATTACCATCTTCTTCATCACCCCTTAAATCCCTGCTCCTACCTCTTCTCCTGGCATTATCATCTTCAGCATCAATCTCTTTATCCTTGTTTCTATCTTTCCTCCATTTATCATTAGCATTTTCATCATCACTCCGTCCATCCCTGTTTCTATCTCTGCTCCTAGTATCATCCCTGTTCATATTTCTCCTCCTATCATCAGCATAACCAGCAGCATTCCTTTTATCCCCATGCCGATCTCTTCTCCTGTCGTTTGCATCTTCATCGTCACTCCTTTTCCTGTTCCTATCTCTCCTATCAATAACAACTTCATCATCAATCCTCCGATCCCTGTTCCTATCTCGGCCCCTCCTACCATTTATATCTTCCTCATCACTCTTGTTGATCCTTCTATCCTGACTATCACGTTCACTCCTAAACTTATCTCCATCTCTTCTCCTATATTTATGATCTTCATCGTCACTCCTATCTCCGTTTTTGTCCCTTTGTCTCTCCATTATTTCCTCAATGTCCCTGTCACTAAAACAATAGTGGAAATATGTCACTCAGTGGACAGAGTTGAATTTCAGTAGTATGAGGTTAAGATCTTCAATGAATAAGTACTCCAAACTCATATCAAACTAAAATTAAGATAAAATCTACACAAATCTACCATCAAACTCACTTGCAGTACCTTACAACTTTGCCATAAAAAAAAAAAAACCATATTTGACATCAAAACCATACAAGCAAATAACAAAGCCATTTAGTCCGCATATGCCCTCCTCAAATCAACCCCTCGGTGTACTGCTTTCTCTCTGTCTTTTGCCGTGCCCACCTCTATCTTATGTTAGATCAAAACAATCTAGCCAAATGGATAACCAACATTTTAAAGGAATAGGTGTTCCAATGTAGAAGTTACAACTCTCAGAATGTATGTTTTTTAAACTTTACTCACAAGGATTTCATTTCATACAAGGGCAATCCTAAAACTCCACATACCACACTACACCGATCAACATGAATATTAAAAAAAAAAAAAAAAAACTAACTACACACATGCAATCAGAGTCACAATTTTGGGAATTACATACCTAAAACTAGAAGGAATTAAAACCCATAGAAAGAAAGCTTCAACCGAGTTCGCATGGGGCTTTACTTGACGGGATGGAGTCAGAAATTTCCGGCAAGGTGGTCCTCTTACAAGTGTTTAGAACACTAAATAACACTTGCAGAAATCACTAGACCAATAGAACATACACTAAAAGAAACATACTTTTAAATTGGATCAAATGCCCGCAAAGCCGCTCGACGTGTTTTTAGCCGAATTTTGACTTCAAGGGATTTTTTAAGTTTTTTGGTTGATTCCAAGGGTTTTTTTCAACTTTTTTTCTTATTTCGAGAGACTTATTCGGTTTTTTGGGTTGATTTCGTAAAAGTTCTCAACTTCGATTTGATTCTAGTTATCTTTTACTTTTTCTTTTCTAGGTTTCTAATTTTGTTTCCTTGTACATCTAGGATTTTAGTACTAAATACAATGTTTTGCAAGTTAAAATTAACTAACCCAATTCAGAGAACCCTAGATGATTAAACAAACTAACATCAACAAGACAACAACTAAGGTTGAGAAAATTGAAAATAAAAGTTAGTAAATTAACATCAAATTAACATACATAAGGCAAATCTAGGGCAAAAATATAGGCCAGATAAAACTCAATTACTCAAATGTAAAAACTCAAAACAAACAAATAAATCATGTAAACAGATCAATATAAATCATGTAAACAAATCAATGAAATCATGTAAACATAATCGTATAACATTATAGCTAATAAATTTAGAGCAAATGACTAATAACAAATTTAGGGCAAAATGTTAAATTCGATTTAGATTTTGGGACAATACCTGAATGAGAGATTGAGAGAGTGACGGAGTGAGTGTGAGAGCCTAAGAGAGTGAGAGTCGAGACTGAGAGCTGGCGATTAATTTTGAGCGGCGGCGTCGGAGCCTGAGAGAGTGCGAATCGAGAGAACAGCGCTGCTGCGTAGAAGCAACGAGTCGGCGTTGTTTGTTTGAAATTTCGAACCCCTCCAGAGTCCATCCCCTATCTCATTTGGTGCTTTTTAAAAAATCAAAATTTACAGTTTTGGTCCTTCGATATCCCTTGAAATTAACATAGAAAAGAATCAGATTTGAAACCACATGAGTGATACTTGATTGGTTTGAGCTTGACTCCAAAGGTTAAAAGTATCAGGAGGTCTCAAGTTTAAATCCAATGAGAAATAAAAATCTTCTTGTGGCCACGGAGGTTCAAATGTAGTGACTATGGGCTATCTGTAAAGCAGGTAGTCGTCTTATGATTAGTCGGCTCGCATAACGGGTTGGATATCCAGATTAATAAAAAAATCATATTTCATTTGGTGCACCTTTACTTTTTAAATATCTCATAACATCCCTCAATTTTTAGCGTGCGCACGGACCCTGCTCCCGGGGTATTCTCTGAAAAAATACCCGTTCGTTAAAATGCTTATAAAAAAAATTAATTATATTTAACATAATTTATATTTTTTTTAAATTGAGATAAAATTTGTGGGTTTCCAAAACTTGTTACGTTCATATGGAAAGGATAATATGTGTTTCCGAAAACCCTTCGAACGTCCATTCTTATTGTTCACAAAAGGGGTAAATAGGAGTATTACAAAAACTGAAAGATTTTGTATGCATTGTTGATTTGTACATTAAATTTTAATACTGGTAACATAAGTTTACTGTAATATTATTGAAGGGACGAATTAATCTATAAGCAACTTTGTCATTGTAGGTACCATATGATGTTTTCATTTGTGAAGTGATAAGTAAAGATTAAGTTGACGGATATTAGACTACTAGTCACCTAGTAATGCCCTTTACTTGGATTCAAAACTATAATACAACATTACCTAGTTTATAGGGAAAAAAATCACTAAACCCTGAAAATGCATACAGACAGTCAACAATTAATCACCTTCGCCAGGAAGCACGATTGCATCAGGGCGTGAGGTTGTACGCTATAGCGGATTTTGGACTTAGGCCAGGACTTCGTGAGGGTCGTGAGGGGTAGGCTTGTATGTCGCTAAACACCGAAACCAAAGCTTTATTGTGATCTTTGGAGATATGGAAGGAAAGATTACGATAAATGAAGGATGATGAAATTGGTGAAAGAGAACATCAATTTGGGGTCAAATTTAGGGTTTTAAGATTGGTTTTTGTTTTAAAGAAATTTACTTTTTGTTTATGGTGAAACTTTTGTAGCGTTTTTTCTGCAAACATGGTTTCCGTTTTTAGAATAGTTTGTAAACATAAGCTAGTTCTCATTTGTTTTGAAAAAATGGGGGTTTTTATTTAAAAAATAAACAAAATTGGTCTAGTTTTGCAAATTAGTTTTCATTACTTCATTATTGTTAGAAAATTCATACTAAATTAATGGGTTGTTTGTTTACCTCTTAATAGTTCCATTAAAAGGCAACATCTGAATCTCCGCCTTTCTCTACCTCTCTTCATTCACCATTAGCAGTCTCTCAGCCTTCAATTTCATCAAAACCCTCCAAACTCAGCAGTTCGGGTTTAACCCAAACAAAGAATTCATTGGATGTCTTCCAGATAAAGGAAATCACATCAAAATAAAACAAGATTTACACTTGTTCAAGATTATACCAGTAGTGATAAGGTTTTTATGTTATTCATAGATTTGGATTTGGGTCTTTGAGTTTGTGTTTAAATCGAACTTTCACTTTGACTTTTTGTTCTTTAAGAATTGATGGGGACGGGAGCTAGGAGACGAACACCGGTTTACTAGAGATGTTATCGTTCACCCAGACGTTGATGTTCACCAACTTATCCCTGACTTAATGGACTTTTCTAACAATGCTGGGCAGGAGGACGAAAAGATAAATAAATTGCAAATCACAAGGATGAAAAAACCATTTTTAAAGACTAGGAACAGAAACCGTTATAAACAACAAACTATAGGGACGAAAATCGTAGTTTACTCTTGAAGCGTTATGATGGGCGCATACAAAATTAATCTTTTTTGCATTTTCGCTTATAATGTTTATTTTGCAACATAATTTGTTAATAAAATTATGAAATAGGTTGAACATAATAAAACTATAATTAAAAATCGCATAAATATACTTAATTGAATACAATAAAACGTTTATATAAATAAAAAACCAACGAGTAAATTACTGATTTGGTCGGTTTATACTTTCTACCTGCAGTGCTCCCAAAATCAAAATAATACATATACCGATATACAGGACCTCTGGTTTACATTTTCGCACTAATTGAGTCTCTCCCTCTAATGAAATAAAAAAAATCTGTTAACCCAATTAATTCGAGGATATTTTGGTTTTTTTATTTTTTATTTTTTTTGATTGTTTGATTATATTTTTCTTTACTAGTGGTTTATTATTTTCCTTTTTTCATATTAGCATCATCACCATATCCATAACTTGATCACCATCTCCATCACCTCCATGGAGGTTCTTGGCCGTCATCTCCATTATTAGCTCCATGGAAGTTCTTCACCATTATGAATAAGAATATCAAGAACTCTAAGATTTGAAAAACATCAAAGACCATTCAATAACAATTTTGCTCAAATTCATTTACAAGAACTATATCCAGATCAAAAACCTAAATCGAATTCAAAGAACAAACCGCAAATCATAATCGAACAAAAAAACCCAGGTTAAAATCGAAACTCAGGTGAAAATGGGGAATGAAATCGAAACCCAGATTCAAAACTACAACCTAAATCGAAAACGAAACAAGATTCAAACTCAATTTAAAACCTAAACACGAAATTGAAACAATGTTAAAACCCAAAATCGAGAAGGAAATCAAAACCCAAATTCAAAGCTAAAAACAAAATCAAAAAACAGAGATGGATGTAGCGCAATGTATGTAGATTTGGTCCTATGTAGCTGAAACTGAACAAGATCTGGTCCCTGTGTTACTATGTAGCTGAAACGAAATCAGAAATGGTGAAGAACTGGAACTGAAACTGAAACAAGATTTGGTCCTTGGAGATGCTTGGTCTTTGAATTAGTCTTTGTTCTTTGAATTCTTTACACGGGCTATATTAACAAAATAACCATTTTTCATGAAATAACCAATCGCTCCCGGAGGGATATTTGACCATGATTTGACTATAAAAGTACGAAGGGGTCTCATATGAATATGATTTGGGGAACAAAAATCAGATATTATACCTGAAAAGCCAAATCGCCCCCCACATGCCCCCAGATCGACCCCCAGAGGCGATTTTGACTCCTATGTTGTCCTCTAGGGAGGACATCCTATGACACACCAATTTGAAAATTCATGAGTGTTTTCGAGGCATGGGGGGAGATTTTGGTCCTATATAAATGTTGTAGTTTTCTCTATAAAATCAAACACTTCTACTTTTACAATTATTAATCCTTAAAAACAATCTAACTTCACAACCCTTAACTCTTAAACACAATTTATCATCACAACCCTTAAACACAAATATGAAATCATGTCAAAGTGATAATGGTTCTGTGTATGTTAAAAGCGGCGGTTCATTCCAGGCGATAAATGATGCCATAGAGTATATGTGGTTAGCAGCCCTCACATGTATATTACATTTGTTTTCGCCAATAACACATTTGGTTTGGTTAAACGTGTTGCGAAAAAGTTAAGTTTACGTAGTCCTTTAGGTTATTTCATAAAAATGATTCCAGTTCCAGTTGTTTGTTATTTGAGCCAGGAGACGACGACTAGGGGTGTAAATGATGCGAGTCGAGCTCGAGTATCAATATACTCGACTCGAACTCGATAGTCATTTCTCAAGCTCGAACTCGACTCGAAAGCTCACGGGTAATTAAAAACTAAACTCGACTCGAACTCAATTTTTTAAACTCGAACTCGAGCTCGAACTGCAACTCGAATCAAACTCGAACTCAAACTCGAACCAAGCTCACCCATTGAAATTTATGAAATTTTAGAGTCTTCTTATAAATTTTAAGACTTACAGGTGTTCTCTTAGTTTTTATAAAACTAAAGGGATCCACTTGAAACTTTATTATCAAAAAGATAAAGTTAGAAATTTCATTCACCTCCGTCTCTTTTTATAACATATTTCTCCCTTCCTTTACTATCTCTTTTCCAACGGGACAATTTCACCAACATTTTTATAGTTTTTTTTTGTCTTTTTTTTAATTGTGATTTTAATAAAAAATAATTGATTAGTTTTTATAATTAAAAAATACATAATTTTGTTCAAATATCTAAAAATATAAGACATTTTTATTATTTACATTTTTACAAATTTTATTATAAAAACTGATTATATTTTAAAACCAATTATATATATAATAATCGAGTATCTCACGAGTTTTTTGAGTCGAGTATTTGGTAGTTTGACTCGACTTGTTAATATGTCGAGTCGAGCTCGAGTTTCAGCCGAGCCTTATTCGAGTCGAGTGTTGACCGAGCTTTGACCGAGTCGATCTCGAGTAGCTCGCGAGTTGTCTCGTATCGTTTACACCCCTAACGACGACGATGTGGTGATGTTCCAAAACTTTGTTCACCAAAGTTTACCGAAAAATACTCATATGGTTAGCTTCGTTTTTCGAGTTCTTTACAATTTTCGAATGGTTTTTGGACCTGAACCTTAAATGAGAAATGAGACTCAATACTTGATGGTTTTCATTTATTCTTGTTCTTATGGTTGAGGAAAATCATCTTCTAGAGTTTTAGAAAAAAGAATCAACGAAAACGGGCCAAAAACGAGGCCAAATGACCTGAAGAAGTTGCTACCTTCGACAGCCCTATGTTGGGTCAAAAACACGGATCCGGGTCAAACGGGTGCAGTTCTCAGGTCTAACTTGGATCCGGTTAAGATGAAGATTGCATTTAATGCTATATGGGACGAGAGCTTTAGAGTTATTGTATCATGTATGCACGATGTTTTAGTTTACATACATGATACAATATATTAATGTTAGAGTTATTGTATAATGTATGCACGATGTTTTAGTTTACATACATGATACAATATATTTTACATGTATGTTATTTTATTATCAGTTGCATATTATGTGTTTATTTTGTTTTCAAATAACTCTAACATGATATTTCATATCAAAGTTTTATGATTAGTTTTAACAGGTGGACATTTGACCAGTAAATCACATGATAAGTGGCACGACCCCATAATAGGCGTCCAGACAGGTGCAGGTCGAATAACCCAGTGAATGCGGTGACTAAATGACCCATACCCGATAGACAGTTTATGAGATATCTTTTGTTTCAATGTTGCATGGTTTTTAGAAAATGCATATTATTTGGTACAAAGCTTACAAGTTGGTATGAATGACGTGAAATTATTTTATTCACACAAACCATAAAACTCACTGAGCTTTATAAGCTGACTATAGTATGCATTTCCGAGACAGGAGGTTTCAAGTTGGACAAAGAAAAAAGGCACACATAGAGACTTGCCTAGTCCATTTTAGCAAAATTGTGCTCGATTTCATATGTGGCAATTTCCCCAAGATCTTTTTGTTAGTTGGGGAAGAATCCATCCGACTCGGATTTTTTGAGGAACGTATCGAGAGAGAATTTGATTTAATTAGACAATGTGTGGTAGTTCAATATTCATGTTCAAATATCTATGACAAATAAATTTGTAACGCAATCCGGTATGGGACGGGTTAGCATTTAAGTTAAATATTTATAATTCTAAAGTCTTCCACTCTTGCTATGTTTTTTTCATCCACGGTCGGGAATGAAATTTTCCTTGCAATTGTCGACCAACAAAACCCTCCTTACTGCATCATCTTCGTATTATGTTTTTGCAATGAAATCATGAGCTTTGCAGTCAACAAACAGTGTAGCTTATATAACGATCTATTTTTATGACGTAAATGAAACGACTTTGTGGAGAGATTATCAGAAAGATGATATGTGAAAATGGATTGCAAAAAGGAAGAAAAGGGATGTTGCGTAAAAAGTACGATGACAAATTAGATCGAAAATAAAAACATAAAAATGTCGTTTATGCAACTATAAAAAGATTGATGTTGTCAGGGGAGGGACTAAATCAAAATAAAATGGGTATCACAATTTATTTTATAAACGAAGTTGATAAACGAGAAAAAAACCATAATACCAGAATCCAAAGAATGGACACTATAATTTACTTTTTTTATTAACTTGGATATCCAACCCGCTATGTAAGCCGACTAATCTCAGGGCGACCACCTGTTTTGTAGATAACCCGGAGTCATCGCATTTGAACCTCCGTGGTCACAAAAGGATTTTTATTCCTCACTGAATTTGAACATGAGACCTCCTTGTACTTTTGACCTTTGGAGCCAAGCTCAAACCAATCAGGCACCACCCTTGTGGTTTAATTTACTTTTTTTCATAATAAATAGATTAAGTTAGAATAGATAACGACTTTTGGTCCCTGTGTATGAGAATGTCGTTTATGGTGTATCGAGAGTCAACCAGTTCCAGTATGTAGCCATTTTAGGCCACTCTCGATCGATTCTAACATGTTTTCTTCAACTATTTTTGCAGCGGGGTCCTTATAACATGCTATATTAATGTTTAAACATGCTTAATTCATAGTATTTCTTGCATCAATTTCGTTGATCATGACATAAACATTCAAATTAACAATTTATATCATCATATAGAGTCTCATTATATATTACAACATTAAACCAAAAAAAATAAATTATTTAAGTTTTTTCCTTCCCGCCAAAGAGAAAAGCAAAGAAGTTACATATAAGTCCACCAAGATTTAAGTTCTTACACTTTACGTCCTTTTATTTTTGCTTCCTAGCAACAAGGAGAAATAGAACAGAATCCTGAAAAAGAATCCCCAAGCCACTGTCACCCACAGGCAACTCCATTTGCTCAGATCGGTAATCCCTTGTTGTTTCAGTATATCGACGCCGGTGGTCAGACAAGTGCTGCCGCTGATATTTACTCCCAATGATCCGCTCATGCTTTGTAGCAGTTTCACTTTCACGGCGTTATCCACGGCGGCGAGAGGGCTGTTGTCGAAGATCTGAGTTCCTCGAACGAAACATTTGACGGGATCGTCGAATTCGTTTTGTAGAACAGCTTCGTAAGGGTATTTCACCAGAGACATGTAGTGAAACCAAATCCAGTAACCGGGGATTCGATCACGAGTGATGAAGAATCCACTGAAGAGAAGGAAGTAAGCTAGAATCGCGACGACAATGGTGTAACCGAGCATGACGTGAGGGACGATGCCGGAGAGAAATGTGACGAATGAGCTGCCTGCCCAGAATGAGGCCAGTATTACAAAGAAGTAGAAGAGGAAACCAGAAACACCGCCGGCGAGTCCCACCGCCCAGAAAGTGATGGCGGCGAATGCGAGTGAGAGGAAAATGAGAGATGGGATAGCGACGAGTGAGTGGGAAAGTACGTATGAAGATCGCCGGTAAGCGTTGTAGGCGGTTTCTCTCATGAAAATGTAACGTTCTTGGAGGAAGACCGGCAAGGCGTCGGCGCAGGTGTAGAATGTTGTGGACATGGCGAACGCGAAGAACCCTAATCGTTCTTGAACGCCTCTTGGGGAACTATCGAGGTTCCAGAACACGGTGGCTAATATGAAACCGGTAACTGTTACCGCCGCCAATCGGATACCGAATAGCTCCGGCATTCTCCGTGAATTGGTGAAAGATCGTTTCGATAAAACCGCCATTTCCATCCACATTGGATTGGCAAATGTTGGCACCATAGAGGTTGGGTTATTGCCGTTGTTGGCGCCGGCGCCGGAGACTAATTTCCCTCTCGATATGCTTGCGCTGATTGCTTCTTTGAGGGTTAAGCCATGGGTGGGGGTTTCGTTGCCGGTGGTTGTGGTGTTGTGAGATCGCTTCAGGTTTTGCCATGTTTTGTTGAATTCGACTAGGCTTCTGGTTCCTCCGGGAGTACCTTCGAGTTCTCTGATCAAATCGAGTGCGAACTCCGTCCGGTTCTCCTTATCGGGAATCGGATGGCCAAAATCGGAGAAGAATAACGGGAGATCCGACGGAGATCCATTGTAGACGGTCTGTCCACGGGAAAGAAACAAAAGGCGGTCGAGTAGTCCGAGAAGACGGTAGCTCGGCTGGTGTACGGACATTATCACAATGCTGCCGCTCTGTGCAATCCGTTGCAAAACCTTCACCACCATGTAAGCACTGGTTGAATCAAGCCCTGACGTCGGTTCGTCCAGAAACAGGATAATCGGATCGTGAATGATATCGATTCCGATCGAGACTCGCCGGCGTTCTCCGCCTGAAACTCCTCTGTGACCTTCATCGCCTATGACCGTTTTGGCGGCGTTTCGAAGCCCTAATTGATCGATGAGAGCTTGCACTCTCAGCTTCTTTTTAGATTTCGAGAATGTTCGAGGGAGGCGGAACTCGGCGGCGAACATCAAAGTTTCTTCGACGGTTAACATCGGAAATAAGAGATCATCCTGCATCACGTAAGCTGAAATCACCTTCAGCAATCTGGATTCCAATTGTTCGCCGTTCAACGTCACCGTTCCTTTCAAGCTTCCTTTTGCGATCCGATTCGCCAAAGCATCGATCAAAGTTGATTTTCCAGATCCACTAGCACCTAGCACCGCCATTAACTCGCCGTCCCTGGCTTGACCGGAGATATCATTCAACAAAACCTTACTCCTCGAAAACATATTCTCTCTTCCAACCGGATCCATCGACGAACCACCTAACCTCTCCCGTTGACCAAATAAAGCCGGAACCGCCATCTTCCTTTTAAGTTTCACACTGTACGTCAGATTATCGAACTTCAAAACAAACGGTAACGATCTAGGCTCGCTGCTAGTTTCGCTCATCTCCAAAACACGATGAGCCGGCGTCTCTTCACTATTCGCCTCCTTCCTTATGTCTCCGACGTACTTGAGAAGCTCTCCGAGAGACCGAGAAGCCGCAACTTGTCCCCGTTCATAAAACGACCCCATACTATCCACCACGTTCTCCGCCACTATACGAGGCATGGTTCGACAGCCACCGTCACTCTGGCGATCGGAAAACGGATACGAGATGAAAATGTGGAAGAAGGAAGAAGGAAGAAGTTGTTCGGAGAAATTTGAGAGTCCATGGAGAAGAAGAGTGTGTGTTTATGGTGGTGAGTAGAGGGAGGGTGGTGACCAACGTCGCCTAATATGAAAAGTTTACACGTCTTAAAAAATAGAAACTGGACACGTGGACGTTATTCATGGTGGAACATATTTACATGTTTAAATAAATTAAATATTTTATTTGAATAATATTATTATTTTTTAAGGAAAATCTCATACCAGAACTACGTCCATCACTTTTTTACTACATAAACTTGCATTTGGACCTTTTAATTATATTTATTAATAAAAAGCATTTAATAATTTGTAAAAAAATAAGAATAAATGTTTTTTCTGTTTGGAAATTAGGTGCGGAAGGTAAACTACTATTGCATTTGCATGGTCAAATGGACAATATTTTTTAGTCAACGGTGGATATAGAATAATTTTCAAAATGATGAAGGATTTGTAATGCATAAGAAATAACTTCATGAAATTCTCGGTTTTTCGCTATTTTTTTATTTTTAAAATCCTCGTTCAATAAAGTAACCGAGACATACCCGATTAATTTTTGATAACCGTTGTTAGCGGCTAAGTTGAGTTTGTTGCGGGCATATTTAGTTTATATTGAATGTTAAACAAAGGCAAATTAGAATATGGAAAATCAATTTTGGAAGCGTGTCAAGGATCAAGTCAGGCCCGAGTTGGTCTCGTGTGGCCCATGCGATCATACACGACATCAAAATCCAATGTGAAATCAAGTTTTCATTTATTATTAGTTTTGGATTTAATAATTTGATAATTGGGTAACTGTAATACCCCTCAAACATAAGGGACGGGTTAATCTCTGTTCGGATACAACTTTCAACACATCTAGTGTTGCATGACCTATCACTATCCCTATCGTGTACGCGACATCGCGTTCTGGATCGCTTTTGATTTATGAGGTATCAAGAGTCAACCAACGAATAATTAGACTTTAATAGTGGGTGAGTAATGATTTAACCAACAATTCATGCTTTAATCGTGGATTTCATCTTCTATTTTCAACAACATAGATAACACTCAAAATGGTTGAATTAGCGGCCTTTTGGCCTCTGTCTCGATCCCATTATCACGTTACTCACATCCTTGACTACGTATGCTATAGACTGATAAAAAACAGTACGAGTTTGGCGTCTAATTGTACCTTTAATTCTTCCTCAAGCTTGCAACGACTTTCCTACCTTTATCCTCCTTCCGTTCACGTCCAAAAGCTCGGGCTTTCTCATTGTTCTTTTTCTAGGGTTTTACTTATGTTACTGAAGAGAATAAAATGTGATTCTCTTAAATTGATCGCAAACTCACTATAAGTTATTCTTATACAATGTTGTCGAACTAAGTAGGGGTGAATAATAACGCGAACAACCCGATCAACCATCCAACCCAACCGAAAATAACCCAATACGAAACCATCCGATGTGTAATCGAGTTGTAAAAGACTCAAATCATAGGTATTGATTTGTAATCGGGTTACGATCATTTGACCCTATCCCAAGTCTCTCTCTCTCTCTCTCTCTATTATATATATATAGGGGCTTAATCAAATGAGAACTAAATTGTTTGTGGTAACTGTGAGAACCAATCTCAACCATATATTAAAAAAATCAATGGGTAAGATTAAGAAAGAATCTTAATTATTCTATTTCTATAAATAAATATTGTCATTTAATGATATTATATGAATAAGGGCAAGATGGTCATTTTTGTATTTTATTTTATTGAGCCCGCGCTCAAATCCGTTAATATTCTCGTTCAATTCTAATCCAAATATGGTGAAGATACTTTCCTATCGCAAGAGTAATCGCAAATGCAAGTATATACATAAACGATGGAGGATGACGAAGGAATAGGTATAATCGATTTATGTTCTTCATTTTCAATATGAATAATACAGTAACCCTTGTTTCTGTAATGTGGAATGGTACAGGAAGAAGGAGCGATAGGTTAAAGGCGAAGTCGATGTTTAAGTTCTCAAATAAAGAAAACCAACCCATTGACCTAGACGACGATGTTGAAGACGATGTTGATATTATAGCTATCAAAAAAACAGATATCATCTTATTACATTCCCTAACACGATTTTAGGTTTAAATCATCAGTTTTAGGTTGGAATGGTGTGATACATTGTGATAACATTTAGCATTTGTCATAATATTTGTCTAGACAGAAAATGGTGTGCTAAATTGTGTTTAGGTTCTTAATTTCTTGCAAAACATGGCTTTGTATTCATGATCAAGTTAAAACTTTTGTAGTTTCAGGACAATTTGGTTGAGAGTTGGATTGTATGATAGTAACTTTTGAAGTAATTTTTTTAGCGTGATTGAAATGTTTGGGGCACCATTTGTTGTGCTACATTCTAATTAGAATCATACACTTTGTTTAAGAAAACCGCCTTACCTCTCCAGCAAATAAGCGTGGTCTCAATCCAAGAGCAGAACAGGGAGCATCAAGAAGGACTTGGTCAAAACTGTTTGGATGAGAACCCTTCACATTTATCCACCCTGCCACCTGTTGATTGGTTTCTCCCAGGCCCATTTTTCATTCTTCTATTTTTTTTCTTAGCTCAGCTTTACTTCTGTAATGACCTCCATTCATTTGTTCTTCATCTGGAACATTAGCTTTCTCTAAAATGGGTAATGTATCTACAGGAGAAACAACATCACATAAGATGATCTGAATTAGATGTAAAGCATATGTTTAATGCAAATATAATGTATAAAACAACATACTGGAAGCAATATCATACATTGTAATTATAATCACACATAAATATTTGTATTTCTTGATACAAATATAATGTGTTTTGACATGAAACCACAGTTGTAATACATGAGAACTTTGTTGGTACCACATGAAACCANAGTTGTAATACATGAGAACTTTGTTGGTACCACATGAAACCACAGTTGTAATACATAAGAACTGTTGTACCAACAACTTATGATCATCTGTGTAACATGTTTGTGGTACCATGTGGTGTGGTACATTGTGRTATGTAACCAATTAGAACTACTTGTGCATGGTAATGTATCACATGAAACAAAACAGTTATTGGTACCACATGAAACCACATCTATAATACATGAGAACTGTGCTACCGATTGTTGCCTGAGAAAACACAAACACTGTTAGGGTACCACAATGTATCACACCACAAGTGCAACTTGCTCAACCCCTTGTGCTTCATTTTGTTGAATACTGACCACTCTTCAGGTGCAACTCTTTGCTTTTGTCAATTGCCACTTTATTTTTCATGGATTCTTCTCTGTGTTGACCACCTAATGCCATTACTTACCGGGTGTCAGCCATATTATCAGTCAAATGAAATGGTCCAGAAAAATAATGAAAAGCCACATGCGAGTAGTTATTATGAAATATTTAAGCAGTTAATGGTCGATTGCAGAAAATGCTGTCAGGACCTTGATTTGCAGCCGCAGTTATCGTGGTGGTATAGCGATAAAAAAAAGTAGGTTCATAAATTAAATACCACAGGGTACCACAAACATATTACAAAGCTGAACAACTAATACATATACAAAGTAAGTACACTAAACGTTGTGATGATAATAAATTTGGATAACACACTGTGATACAAATGAGGTTGAACACAGTATACAAAGATGGATGAGAAAAAAACCTGGATTTATATCATTCTGAATATCATTGTATAATTTTGGAATGTAAATCAATATTAATTATATATTATGAAACGCTTCTAATTTAAAAATTAAAGTTTAATTTTAATTTARGAATTGACTGAAATGCCCTTTTAAATTTGTTTAAATGTAATAATTAATGTATTAAAATGATTGGTTGATATTGGTTCTCACAGTTACCACAAACAACTCAGTTCTCCCTTGAATGGGCCCATATATATATATGGGCCTAATCAAATGAGAACTAATTAGTTTGTGGTAACCGTGAGAACCAATATTAACCACAAATCAATAGATAAATT